TGGCGGAGCGTTCGCTAGATGGCGCGAAGTTTCCGCGTGACGAATGGCGCGCGTTACGGCGAATCAAACTGAATAAGCGGGAACGGCAGAGGCGTCGTATCGCGGGCTCTCTGCAGCGGCTGAAAGGCAAAGCTCGGCGTCTTCGCGTTCACACGGGCTGCACTGCACAGCGACCGCGACACGGGCTCGCGCAGCGCAGCATCCGTCGCCTTTGAATTCGCTGGGTAGCCGAGCCTGCCAAAGGGAAGCTGACGAAGACGCATCGAAGAGATTTTTTCCACGAGCCGATTCGACTGTATCCGGTGATACACACGCGCAGAAGATCGACTACGCGCGAACAATCGCGATGACTCGTGCGCTGCAGGCTTCGTCGACTGCGCTGGTGTTAATCTGCATCGTCGTCTTCTGGTTCACTGGATCGACAGCACACGGTGAGTGGTCGGCTTCTTTATCTTTGTCTCTTGATTATTAAGGCACGAATTGAGAAAGAGCAGCTCGATTAATTGCCGAACAAGTTGCAATGAAAGGTTGAATTAATGCAGACATCTCCGGACTCTACCGGGAATGAGCTGCCTTGTCTTGATCTCCTGGGCAAATTCAACAGCTGAAACGAGATTTTTTAAAATTTTTATTTGTCTTTCTTTTTTTTAATAATAGAAGTTACTTAGCAATTTACTTTTTATTTATCCATTTTATTATTTATCACACTGCCTTTACAAAGTCCGACACCAAAACTGGGACGACCGCAGACGGCCATTTTTAATTAAAATCTAATCGAATCGTTGAACATTAAGGCCGTCTATTCGATTCCTATGAAATCTCGTCGACGCGCTTTGCATTTATCCATATGTTTGTTCTTTGTCAGCGCATATACTGTTTATATGCTTTTTTACCTACATGAGCGCGTATCACTTACAGAACTGTTGTCTTTTGTGCTTCGCAACGATCATCATCATCGGGATAGCTCTCTATCTATCTATCTATCTATCTATCTATCTATCTATCTATCTATCTATCTATCTATCTATCTATCTGTCTATCACTTCGGCCTAAGGGCCTTCAGCCTTCAGGACTCAACACTTTGCTTGCACACGTGCCTTGAGGGTACTTACTTACTCTGCTTCCCCATTGTTTTCAGAGCCTCCCGTGCTTCAGGAGTTCTCGTTCGCGAAGAACTCCTTCATGGGCGGCACGGCCGTGGTGCCGTGCGTGGCCATCTCCGGAACCAGGCCCATGGGCTTCACCTGGTTCCACGATGGCGTGCCCGTGTCCTCGGGAGGCGGCGGCGCCACCGTCTCTAACGTGGCCGGCAACGTAGCCATGCTCACGATAGAGCGCGTCTCGCCGGCCTCCGTCGGGAACTACACGTGCGTCGCCCGTAACGTCGCCGGCACTGCGGCCGTGTGGGCCACGCTGTACGTACAAGGTGGGTGCGTACGGAGCGTGACGATTGAGGATTATACGTACACGACTCTCTGTGCGTATTCGTTGTCAACGGAAAGTTTAGAATTGGGTACCCAAGCTTTGGGTCACTTGGCTACCTCGGGTCCCTAGAAAACTAGAGAACTTCAGTTTGGCCGCAAACTTGTCAATGTTTTGAAAATACCGAGTTACCTGGGCAGTTCATGGTAGTTATATATTAGGTTGTTTTGTTCAACAACACGTTTGTTTGTTCGCGTTTTTTAGCCGCTCTAGTGTTCTTGTAGAAACAATGTAATAAAAGTATTCTGAGTTAACTCTTCTCTCACCGTGAATGCTTTACACAAGTAGTCAAGTGAAACGTGTATGCCTATTCAATGTGCATCATGCTTTGTGTATTTAGTTGAGTTTTGCATCATCGGGTGTCGCTGTTATCACGTATTCTTCCGTCACCCGTAAAAAACATAAACGGCAAAAAGTGCGCGGACAAACTGGAACTCTCTGTTAGATAATTTTAAAACTTGGCAACTAGGCCTTGCGTTCCTTGGGAATGCACGAAAAATGCCGTGCGCAGCTAAAGGGCTGCGCATCGGCGATAATAAAACGAGGCGGCTGTGTAGAGAAAGCTACGGGTGTGCCCCATTCTAAAACTTTCACATATATTTTTCGTGCGCAAAAAAAAAACACGAATGTCTCTTGACTCCAGATATGTTTACTTCCTCATAAAGCTTACTTTCCGTGTTCATCGTGTCTTGTCTCATTCGCTTGTGTCTCTTCACTGTGTGCATACGCCTCGTTTATTTAAGGTTGTGTTCACTCTTGACATTTTTTTTTTTTTTCGGCGTGGTGACTGTTTATCGGCTGTCATTTCAGTACGTTTCTTCGACTCGTTGAAAGTGCGTGTTGTGAACACTAAGAACGTCGTGTCTTCTCGATTTTGTATTTACACGCGCATTATTTCTCTACTTTATTGCACACAACGTCTTGTTGTCGCCTTTTTTTTTTCACTGCTTATTGCATTGGCCAACGCTTTGAGAATTTCTCTTCTTCTTGTGTATGTTATTTAGCCCATCACGCGCGCGCCATGTAGAAGCGGTTTACTTTCATTCAAGCATAACTTTTGTAAATATTTCCGGCTTGAAAGATGCAAATACGTCATCGGAGTGACACATACGCCTTACACTGCTACAATGCCTTTTCTAAGCAGCTTTATTAGTGATAACTATACACTTGGCGCAAAAGGAATGGAAGTACAAATGTCACGCATAAAACATTCAATTACATCTCGACGATTAACGCCGATACGTGCGCCAGCTTCAAGACACGTGCGGACGACCCACTTTTCACTGTAATTATACCTTTTTTAATCTCTCTCTGTAATAGCGTGCACTGTACTAAACTATATGCAAAAATGGTTATTATTGTACGACGTACACGAACGTGCCTCCAGAGACGTGTCGTTTCGTTGGACGACAGTTGATATTAACAGCGAACGTTGCCGTGGTTGTGTCGCAGACCTGTCTGTGATGTCTCAAAGTGAGACATAATTCGAGATTGTGCTACATTTAACGTCAATTTGTGAACACTGCTTCCGACTTATCTCAGCCAGGTCCGCTGCACGCAACTAACCAGCGCGCTAAGAGAAGGGCCGCGCAAGACAGCAATTGCTGGCAGCTCAAGCCCACATGCATATGCACTAATTGGACGGGATGAACGCGTGGCTGGCGGGTTGCTTTATTAATTTCTTGGCAGCGTTATTGTACGCTCTGCGTGCAGACTCTTAAAACTAATTATGTGCGTGTCAATGACGCGCGAGTAGATAAACCATTTCAAATACGGGGTGGAGTGCGTGTTGAACTTCTGTGCACTTGTGCTACAACACTCGCTGAAAGGAAAGCGATCGTCCAGACGTGAGTACTGAATCTGCTTTGCACGCTCAACTTTGTTTTGCAATCGCCGCGCTCGTGCGGCCAATTTCGACCAATTGCAAGTCGATTTTCACCAGTTCCATTTTTTTTTTTCGCAATTTTTAGAGAAACTTTCGTGAAGTTGTGCTTCTGTGCATTGTGGATGGTTTCTTGCAGAGTGTCCACTGAAACTGGCAGATTGCCCCCCCCCCCCCTTTTTTTTTTCATTTCAAACAAACGCTTTCAGATGCGCGTTGTGCGGATAACAAAAAAAAAACTAAAATGAAAAGAACAGGACAAAAGATTAACAGCAGGGTATGAGTGTTTACAGCTTTCTAACTGTACGATGAAAAATAAAATGTTTGTATAAGTTGCACATAGTAATAAAGTGGTACATTGCAAGAAAAATGTCCTTCACCAGTACCAGTAAGATTTCTGCAATACCCTGGCAAACATTGTAACGAATTCGTAAATATAGTAAGATATTACTGTAACAGTTGATTAACACTCAGATTTATTCGCTCTAACAGCCCTATCGATGCAGTCCACGAGACTGTGTTATCTGTTGTTCGTAAAGCCTTGCTGCTGTTCCAGATTTGTAAACTTGGGGAGTTTTTACCTTTTTCATCAATTTAACAGTTTTTGGCTGAATTCTGAGAGACAGTGAACCTATATGTCGAAGTCATTTGTTCTACGGTCACTAAAATTTAAACGTTTCCTTCAAGTGTGACAGAGATATCGTTTAATGGGTCCACACATGCTCATATAAAATGTTTTCTGCTTTCTTCGATTTAGAACAATTGGAGTTCACGTCAAAGTAAATAATATTTATTAAGTTGATCACATTTCTAAAGACCACAATATGGCTCATAAGTAGCCACAAAAATAAACGTAAAAAACATAATGTAGACTTATCTGTTATAAATTACAGTAGCCCTTGAAGTCACAACTATTGCCTGCAACTGCATTCGATACTTCACTGTTGGCGAATAACAAAAAATTCCAAGTAGGCGATCGAAACGTACGACTTCAGCTTCAGAAAGTCCTTAAAAAAAAATTGTTCCGACCCATGAATGCGGAAAATACTCAAGAATTCGATGCCGTCTCTGATGTCACGCCGACACCACTCAAGATAAAGTAAGGAAAAGTTTAAACCTACAATTTTGCCCGCTAACAGCGTCTGCGGTCTCGGAGGCGGTGCCTTTGCTCACAAAAGGTGCCAGAAGCTACATCAATATTGCATTGCTACCCATTGGTGGCTTTAGGGAAACAAATAATGTATGACCTACTCCTCACTCTGAATTTCTCTCTCAGCGCTTGTACTGAGCAAAACAGCGTAGCCTTCGAGATCTGCTTCTGTCAATCAGAAGCAACGATTGCTGAGGCATGGTTACTGAGGTGTCGATTTGACAGAGCGAATGACAAAGCACTGCCGCCTAAATAAAATTATATACATGTGGAAGTGCTGTTAAGAAAGCAAGTCTCAGACCTTCAAAAAGCTTTCTTTGCTCTGTTAATTTGAAGTTCAAGAGTAATCATGCGTCAATTAAACCTTCCTTGAAACGTTTTGTTTCCTTGCGTCGATGAGTTCAAGCTTGTACAGCGATACCATGTCCATGCGAGTTGCTCACGACGCATTGTCGGGCTGGGCTTGCGTGTACGGGGAAATCGCAGCTGCCCCAGTCTGGTCTGCGGAACCCAGTGACGCCGAAGCTATCCAAGGGAAGAACCTGTACCTGCCATGCGGAGCCGTGGGATACCCCAAGCCCAGCGTGGTCTGGAAGATACAGCTAGGTGAGCCGTTTCTCTGAATATTTTTGACGTTGCTTGTCTGGCGCCAAAGATTTACTGTCGACGCTTATACCGTGAAACGCTGGAAATTTTACTCAGTCGGCACAGCCAACGAAAGCAGGCGAGAATGAAATGGACTTTCTCTTAAAGGCACACTCTCTGAATCACTTCATTTAAGGAATGCTCAACAACTGCAAACACGCACTCACGCAAAAGCAAGAAAAAACAGGTAACTATCGATAAAAAATGCATAACGGACGAGAACGCAAGGTGTGCCGCTGTTTGTTCTAAAAAAAAAATATATCGGCGCTCAGTTATGAGATGACGCGTTCTTGAAATGTCAATCAAAGGTGTCCTACCTATAACAAAGACGAAATCGAAACTTTGCATCTGTTGAAATTGGGCTCTCTAGAGCAGCTCAATACATGCGTCCTATACAGTTATACCGTCACCTCTGACAATCAAGTTTATGACGCTGAGACTATCCGGCGCCCAATGCTGTATGCTAGAAGACTTCACCGAAGGGCTTGCGCTAATGAGTTTGAAATGCTATCGCAAAAAGACTTAAAAGGATACAGAGGTTGAAAGGAAGTGTATTTTACTGGGACCGCGATCAGCGCAAACTTTCGTGACATCGCTGTAAATACGCAGACGCTTATCCAAGTGAGTGCAGTTACACATTTATCACTCAAGACACAGTCAACGCTCCAATACATTCATAGCTGGCCGTCATCCTCATTGCTGTCTTGCAGTGCAGTATGTAACGCGGACAAGTCAATTCAAAGATGACACAGGGCTTAGTTAGAGCTTCGGTAAATCCGGCACCGCGTAGTTACTTTGTGTGCCACAGACGACGCATGTGTGCGCTACCATGACAAAGCACAGAAATCTCGTTGAGCTGGCTCGTGCGGAGGCTTTGTGAAACGTTTCGAACATGATGCATATACAAGTGGCGCGGAAAAGTCGCCATATAGGTTTGCAAACACTTTTAGTTCTCGCATCTCGCGCAACATACTGGCAGCTACAACAGGCCCGCGCGCAAGCGCAAAACGGAAAGGTGAGCGAAATGATGCATTACAAATCAGAAAGGAAAATAGCAAAAAGAAACAAACGTACACATCAAGAAGAGGCATACGAGTAACGCTTGGCGGTGTCAACTGAACCGTGTGCTCGAATCCTTGTAAGAATTGTCTTCGATGTGCAGCATGCATGTCTCGCAGGGTGAACGATACGCGCAACCCTGAAGCGAGAACAGGTGAGAGTTTGTATTCCCTGTTGCCGCGCAGGTAACCGCGAGTTGGTGCCTCTGCACCCCGTGGGCCGGCAGCGCATCCTCGACAACGGCACGCTCGTGGTGGCGGCCGTGGAGACGCAGGACGCCGGCGTGTACCGATGCGAAGTCGGCAACGGCATCGAACCCTCGCTCGGGAAGACGGTCACCGTCTCCGTCCACGGTGAGGCCCCACACGACGCTTCGCTGCGGCGCTTGTTCTAGACCAACTACGCAGGCTCGTCGGCCTGCGTCGTCACGTAACGCATCTTTACACGAGGTAGTGGCCGCTTCAAAAGGAAGCTTGTCGTGCACTCTGGGAAGAGTCTCTATATATACTTCCGCGCACTTGCAGCTCTTCGAGCATCCTGAAAGAAAAGCTCTCGCGTTTAGCGCATGTTAATTACGTTATATTCTACAGCTAGTCACGTAGAAAAAGTGAACTGGAAGTATGACGGTTACGGGCCGTGCAACGTTTTGTTTATTTTGACGATATCGCGACGAAACGTCTTCGATAACCACTTTTCTTTATCGCGAAGTGTGTCAAGGATAATGAACGTATTCCCAAAACCGTGTCCTCGACCTCCCTGCGGTCACCGTGGCGCTGCATCGAACTAACCGCAGTCTTTCAGCAGAAAAACCGCGCTAAAAACAGTGGACGAAGACAGGACAGCCATTCGTTTCGTCTTTTTGGCGCTATATACTACTGGAAGTCGTGTACGAAACAGCTGAAATACGTACCCTACTAGCCGAAGTCAGCGTGTTCCAAAAGTAAAATAAATGTTTAGAACAGCTTTTTGGAAGCAGTCGGTATCAGTTCATTACCCATGGCCGAGTTTCGCATGCATGTGGCGAAGCGCAGCGGCTGCCGCCACTCCAACTTACCCAAGTTGCTGCGGTGGCATGTTACACGGTGCGCAGTGCCTCCCGCCATCGCCAAGGGCTCCACGGAGGTGTCCGTGAAGCGAGGGGACATTGCCAAGATCGCCTGCGACGTCACCGGAGAGCTCCCGCTGGTGGTGACCTGGGAGAAAGACGACAGCCCGCTCATACCTTCCACCGAGAGGTAAGAAGATGCGTCCATTCAGAAATTTCCCAACAGCGCCCTATAGTTGTTCACAAAACAGTCTGCGGCCCGTTACACTAAACACAAACGGCTCTTGATAGCGGCAGAAACCTGAAGTTCATGTTCTGGACACGGCCAAACACCGCCACTTGGACACTTTAAACGGGCCCCGAGCTATACTTTTCCAACTACTCCAACGGCCTCAGTAGCGGAGTTTATTGCCTTACAAGTTGATCGCAGAGAAAATTGTCCGAATTCGCCAAGAACGAACTGAGTTACAGGAATTCGTCGCGTGTTATTTAGGTATTTTGCCTCTTTTCCCTCTCAACGAGCGCGCTGGATGATATCCTAAAAGGAGGGGGAAGGGCGCGATAGATGGGAGAGTATCTATACGTGAACACGTCACGACTTTGAGCGCTCTGCATAAAACGTCGTCGCTATCCGCCGGTATGATTCCGGCACAAGCTAGTTTAGCGTCTTTACAGCGAGGGCGCTTGAAAAAGTGCAACTACGCGTTCAGCCTGAAAAATCTAGTTTTGACGCGCGACTGCAAGATTTGGTTGAGATGTCCTGAGCAATATGTCTGGTATCCGCACGATGTGTTTTTTGAACAAGTACAAGAGCTGGTTTAGGACGCCTTAGAATGGAGCAAGATCCCTATCAGAGTAGAGAAGAAGGCGCCTTCTAACATGGTGTAATTCGACGGTGGCTTAATCCACATAGGGCCTTTTGAGTCACTGCGCAAGTTCGCGCCTGTAGGTCGCAGTCAGGCAATAAGGGGCCTTAGTTCATCCTGTGACGTATTAGCACTCAAGGTTAGCCGGAAGCGTTGGTAATAAACGAGACGCCATTCAGCGGCGCTGGAATGTGCATACCTAACTCCGAACTACTACTTAAGCAAGCTAACGTACATGCTACTTCCCTGCTAGTGTCGATTTTCTTGAGCGGAGCAGGCGTCACACGTTGGCCTTTTAATCCACCATCTAAAGGCAACGACAATCGCCCATCGCGCACAAGCTGTCTTCTAAACCGCGGGCTGGCTAAGCTTCGCAAGAAGTCGCAAACCAAGTCCGCTAATCCGGTCTCCTGCTAACAGCCTTTCCGAAAACTTACGCTAAATCTCTGTAACATCATATCGTAGGACAATAGGCGCAACCTTGACTCCCGCAGACACTCACACAAACACTCATCCACCCGAGTAACACACACACGACACTCAGCGTGTCCTCCGTAGCAGCTTACACATGAAAACGTGAACGGTGGGAACGCGTTGACACTTTCCTCAAATATACTTCATTCATGGATATTCATCCAGGCGAGCCTTTTCGTGATTACCAGCACATGCGCGTGTTTGTGATCTCTCTTGCGGTAAGTGTCCCTAAAAGGTCCTGCGCTTTCAAGCTAGTGAGTGCTAGGGTCCCAATGCGAATATTTCGCGCGATTTTGTAAAATGTCATCCCATCTCCTGGTCAGAGCAGCCGCCATTCGGTTTCCATACGCGCAGCTTTCAGTAGCAGGTCCATCGCTGATGGTCCTGGTGTCGGAAGGCCTACGGTGAAGCGGCTACGCCATGTTACTCGTCCGCCCGTCGCTTTTCCAGGGTCAATTGCTGACAATTACAAAATATTAAGCATGCACGGTATCGCATTTATTGCTTAGTTCTAGTGAGTGGACGGCCGCGTCGAGGCATCACGAGACGGCTCGTACACATGTGCTATCAGATGTACTTGCCTTTTAGAAAACTGCCACCACGAAAACCGCTTCGGCACCTGGAGTGACCATAGTCCCTTTAACCAACGTGTTCGAGATACGTGAGGCGACTTGGATGACCAGAGATCCCGGAACGTACCTCTCGCATGCTGATGCACGTGCAGCACGAACGGCGCGTACGAATGGACCTCCAAAATGACGCGAAGATGGCATTTCAGCCTTGCGGAGCGAAGCACTTTTTGCAGTCTTTTCGCGTTGAGAGCGCAACACGCGTTGAAGAGAAAGCCGGCTCTGATTCTTGCCGAAATAGCGCGCGCGCCAGCGATCGCGACCTTGACGCCAAAGTTCACAGTTGCTGCTCCAGCGACACCCTCCCCCCCCTCCTCTATGTTCTTTGAAGGCTAGCGGGGCGTTCCTCTCTGCTTGAGTAGCCATCGATGGCACTCTCCCCTCCCCCTCCTCTATGTTCTTTGAAGGCTAGCGGGGCGTTCCTCTCTGCTTGAGTAGCCATCGATGGCACTTTCCCCTCCCCCTCCTCTATGCTCTTTGAAGGCTAGCGGGGCGTTCCTCTCTGCTTGAGTAGCCATCGATGGCACTCTCCCCTCCCCCTCCTCTATGTTCGTTGAAGGCTAGCGGGGCGTTCCTCTCTGCTTGAGTAGCCCTCGATGGCACTCTCCCCTCCCCCTCCTCTATGTTCTTTGAAGGCTACGGTGCGTTCCTCTCTGCTTGAGTAGCCATCGATGGCACTCTCCCCTGCCCCTCCTCTATGTTCTTTGAAGGCTAGCGGGGCCGTACTCCTCTCTGCTTGAGTAGCCATCGATGGCCTCTTCATCCCCTCCCCCTCCTCTATGTTCTTTGGAAGGCTAGCGGGGCGTTCTCTCATGCTTGAGTATTAGCACTCAAGGTTAGCCGGAAGCGTTGGTAATAAACGAGACGCCATTCAGCGGCGCTGGAATGTGCATACCTAACTCCGAACTACTACTTAAGCAAGCTAACGTACATGCTACTTCCCTGCTAGTGTCGATTTTCTTGAGCGGAGCGAGCGTTACACGTTGGCCTTTTAATCACTCATCTAAAGACAACGACAATCGCCCATTGAGCACAAGCTGTCTTCTAAACCGCGGGCTGGCTAAGCATAGCAAGAAGTCGCATACCGAGTCCGCTAATCCGGTCTCCTGCTCACAGCGTTTCCGAAAACTTACGCTCAATCTCTGTAAGATCATATTGTAGGGCAACAGGCGCATCCTTGACTCCCGCAAACACTCATCCACCCGAGTAACACACACACGACACTCAGCGTGTCCTCCGTAGCAGCTTACAGAAGAGAACGTGAACAGTGGGAACGCGTTGACACTTTTCTCAAATATACTTCATTCATGGATATTCATCCAGGCGAGCCTTTTCGTGATTACCAGCACATGCGCGTGTTTGTGATCTCTCTTGCGGTAAGCGTCCCCAAAAGGTCCTGCGCTTTCAAGCTAGTGAGTGCTAGGGTCCCAATGCGAATATTTCGCGCGATTTTGTAAAATGTCATCCCATCTCCTGGTCAGAGCAGCCGCCATTCGGTTTCCATACGCGCAGCTTTCAGTAGCGGGTCCATCGCTGACGGTCCTGGTGTCGGAAGGCCTACAATGAAGCGGCTACGCCATATTACTCGTCCGCCCGTCGCTTTTTTAGGATCAATTGCTGACAATTACAAAATATTAAGCATGCACGGTATCGCATTTATTGCTTAGTTCTATAGTGAGTGGACGGCTGCGTCGCTCGAAGGGCGCAGTCGCTGGCGCGTCGAGGCATCACGAGACGGCTCGTACACATGTGCTATCAGATGTACTTGCCTTTTAGAAAACTGCCACCACGAAAACCGCTTCGGCACCTGGAGTGACCATAGTCCCTTTAACCAACGTGTTCGAGATACGTGAGGCGACTTGGATGACCAGAGATCCCGGAACGTACCTCTCGCATGCTGATGCACGTGCAGCACGAACGGCGCGTACGAATGGACCTCCAAAATGACGCGAAGATGGCACTGCAGCCTTGCGGAGCGAAGCACTTTTTGCAGTCTTTTCGAGTTGAGAGCACAAGCGTTGAAGAGAAAGCTGTCTCTGATGCCTGCCGAAATAGCGCCAGCGATCGCCACCTTAACGTCAAAGTTCACAGTTGCTGCTCTAGCGGCACCCTCCCCTCCCCCTCCTTTATGCTCTTTGCAGGCTCGCGGGGCGTTCCTTTCTGCTTGAGTAGCCATCGATGACACCCTCCCCTCCCCCTTCTTTATGCTCTTTGAAGGCTGGCGGGCCCGGGCGTTCCTTTCTGCTTGAGTAGCCATCGATGGCAGGCTTGGCGCGCGAGGTGATATTATCGCGTGCGCTTTCCGTGCAGCGGTGATAGGCCAGCTCTTTTAAGTGTGAATACACTTTATAAGCGACCCCAAACCATCCACCGCCGTCGGCGGCGTCCGCAGTCCTCTCTATCTTTAAAAGAAAGAGGACTTGGCGGGCCGCAACGCGACGCTCTACCATTCGAATAAGCCACGGACGCGACGCTGATATCGGTGTCAGTAACGCGCCTTATACCCCCTCCCCCTTCGCTCGCTCCTCCGCTCTCCTCGCTCGCTGCAGCTGCGCGCGCACCCCTCTCTCTCTCGCGCGCCCGCCTTCTCTCTCAGTCTCCCGTCGAGAGCGGGTCGTGCGGGGGAGTAAAGTTAAAATCCGTTGGCATTCGCCAGTGAGTTAACGTAAACTCCCCCGTGTAATCGAATTGCGATTCCCAGGAACCATTACACCATAAAGGCACACTAGTGTGATTAATAAATATAATAGTGCGAATTATTAAATACCCCTCATAGCATCACCCCGTGTATTCGCACATAACCAAGTTCACCCTCGGGGAAATGCTTGGGAGTTTTTTTACCTCTGCTTATGCCGCGTTCGTTGCCCCCGCTCGCGCGCTTTTACTCGCGTGTAAAAGATGCGCGAGGAGACGTCATCGATTTGGACATTAGACAAGACGTGAAGGTGACGGCAAAAATTAGCCGAGAATGTCCATTTAATCGCCATCGCGATAAACACAAAATCGCTTTCGCCTCCGAGTCGTCATAGGTGAATGAGTTACCCTGCCAGGTTTTTTCGTGTTATAAAAGGCACTAAGGGAGTTATGGTGTACAAACAGAATGTCCCAGTGATATATACAACATCGCAGCGAATGGAAAACGAAGTATGTTTGCTGATAAACACATAGGCGTATTTAGGATCTTAATTCATAAAGTGTAACTTTACTGAACCACTGTTCTCTTCATTTCGTACGAAAATATGGCGTCTCTCATAATCATATGGTGGTTTTAGGACTTTAAACCTTACATATCAATCAAATCAAACATTTAGTACGAAAATATTAGGTGAACAAGGTTCCTCTCGGCTTCTGGTACCTCGATGGTTCCTCCCCCCTCTATGCTTTGAAGCTAGCGGGGCGTTCCTCTCTGCTTGAGTAGCCATCGATGGCACTCTCCCTCCCCCTCCTCTATTTTCTTTGAAGGCTTAGCGGGGCGTTCCTCTCTGCTTGAGTAGCCATCGATGGCACTCTCCCCTCCCCCTCCTCTATGTTCTTTGAAGCTAGCGGGGCGTTCCTCTCTGCTTGAGTAGCCATCGATGGCACTCTTCCCCTCCCCCTCCTCTATGTTCTTTGAAGGCTAGCGGGGCGTTCCCTCTCGGCTTGTACCATCGATGGCACTCTCCCCTCCCCCTCCTCTATGTTCTTTGAAGGCTAGCGGGGCGTTCCTCTCTGCTTGAGTAGCCATCGATGGCACTTCCCCTCCCCCTCCTCTATGCTCTTTGAAGGCGAGCGGGTGCGTTCCTCTCTGCTTGATAGCCATCGATGGCACTCTCCCTCCCCCTCCTCTATGTTCTTTGAAGGTAGCGGGGCGTTCCTCTCTTCTTGAGTAGCCATCGATGGCACTCTCCCCTCCCCCTCCTCTATGTTCTTTGAAGGCTAGCGGGGCGTTCCTCCTGCTTGAGTAGCCATCGATGGCACTTTCCCCTCCCCCTCCTCTATGCTCTTTGAAGGCTAGCGGGGCGTTCCTCTCTGCTTGAGTAGCCATCGATGGCACTCTCCCCTCCCCCTCCTCTATGTTCTTTGAAGGCTAGCGGGGCGTTCCTCTCTGCTTGAGTAGCCATCGATGGCACTCTCCTCTCCCTCCTCTATGTTCTTTGAAGGCTAGCGGGGCGTTCCTCTCTGCTTGAGTAGCCATCGATGGCACTTTCCCCTCCCCCTCCTCTATGCTCTTTGAAGGCTAGCGGGGCGTTCCTCTTTGCTTGAGTAGCCATCGATGGCAGGCTTGACGCGCGAGGTGATATTATCGCATGCGCTTTCCGTGCAGCAGTGATAGACCAGCTCTTTTTACCTCTGCTTATGCCGCGTTCGTTGCCCCCGCTCGCGCGCTTTTACTCGCGTGTAAAAGATGCGCGAAGAGACGTCATCGATTTGGACATTAGACAAGACGTGAAGGTGACGGCGAAAATTAGCCGAGAATGTCCATTTAATCGCCATCGCGATAAACACAAAATCGCTTTCGCCTTCGTGTCGTCATAGGTGAATGAGTTACCCTGCGAGGTTTTTTTGTGTTATAAAAGGCACTAAGGAAGTTTTGGTGTACAAACAGAATGCCCCAGTGATATAAACAACATCGCTGCGAATGGAAAACGAAGTATATCTGCTGATAACCACGTAGGAGTATTTAGGATCTTAATTCATAAAGTGTAATTTTACTGAACCACTGTTCTCTTCATTTCGTACGAAAATGTGGCGTCTCATAATCATACGGTGGTTTTAGGATGTTAAACCCTACATATCAATCAAATTATTCATTTAGTACGAAAATATTAGCTGAAGTTGTTCCGCAATGTAAGACTGCATGACGCCATGTTCTGGCACCATCATGTCGAATGGTGAGTGCTCCTAAAACGATTAGCCCTATGACATTTGCTATGAATCAAAATATTTCTAGCTTGTCACCAGAACACCGAAGTAATTATTCAGATCCATGAATTTAACTACATTTTGCTTTTTCGGTGCACTCCAAGATGTGAACTGCTCCAGAGCGCTCTTAGATGCCAATTATTTGCTCCAAAGTGTTCCGAAATGAAAAGTTTTGCTGCTCCGAAATGCTCCAATGTGCTCCAAATTGAAAGACCTGAGTAGCATTACTGCGTAACAACTTTACAACAGTAAGACACTGCGTTCGCACATCGACGCGGACTCCCTTGTCGTGAGTTTATACTCGCATCCTGCGGAAATACCAGTGTGCCTTCTGTAAAGCCTGTATTCCGAAACATGTATCCAAATGAGCGCTTTCTTTTTTTTTTTCAGGTACGAGACTCACGAAGAAGTGACCCCGACTGGCGTCCAGTCTTTGCTTGAGTAGCCATCGATGGCACTCTCCCCTCCCCCTCCTCTATGTTCTTTGAAGGCTAGCGGGGCGTTCCTCTCTGCTTGAGTAGCCATCGATGGCACTTTCCCCTCCACCTCCTCTATGCTCTTTGAAGGGCTAGCGGGGCGTTCCTCTCTGCTTGAGTAGCCATCGATGGCACTTCTCCCCTCCCCCTCCTCTATGTTCTTTGAAGGCTAGCGGGGCGTCCTCTCTGCTTGAGTAGCCAATCGATGGCACTCTCCCCTCCCCCTCCTCTATGTTCTTTGAAGGCTAGCGGGCGTCCTCTCTGCTTGAGTAGCCATCCGATGGCACTCTCCCCTCCCCCTCCTCTATGCTCTTTTGAAGGCTAGCGGGGCCGGTTCCTCTCTGCTTGAGTAGCCATCGATGGCACTCTCCCCTCCCCCTCCTCTATGTTCTTTGAAGGCTAGCGGGGCGTTCCTCTCTGCTTGAGTAGCCATCGATGGCACTCTCCCCTCCCCCTCCTCTATGTTCTTTGAAGGCTAGCGGGGCGTTCCTCTCTGCTTGAGTAGCCATCGATGGCACTTTCCCCTCCCCCTCCTCTATGCTTCTTGAAGGCTAGCGGGGGCGTTCCTCTTCTGCTTGAGTAGCCATCGATGGCACTCTCCCCTCCCCCTCCTCTATGCTCTTTGAAGGCTAGCGGGGCGTTCCTCTCTGCTTGAGTAGCCATCGATGGCACTCTCCCCTCCCCCTCCTCTATGTTCTTTGAAGGCTAGCGGGGCGTTCCTCTCTGCTTGAGTAGCCATCGATGGCACTTTCCCCTCCCCCTCCTCTATGCTCTTTGAAGGCTAGCGGGGCGTTCCTCTCTGCTTGAGTAGCCATCGATGGCACTCTCCCTCCCCCTCCTCTATGTTCTTTGAAGGCTAGCGGGGCGTTCCTCTCTGCTTGAGTAGCCATCGATGGCACTCTCCTCTCCCTCCTCTATGTTCTTTGAAGGCTAGCGGGGCGTTCCTCTCTGCTTGAGTAGCCATCGATGGCACTTTCCCCCTCCCCCTCCTCTATGCTCTTTGAAGGCTAGCGGGGCGTTCCTCTTTGCTTGAGTAGCCATCGATGGCAGGCTTGACGCGCGAGGTGATATTATCGCATGCGCTTTCCGTGCAGCAGTGATAGACCAGCTCTTTTTACCTCTGCTTATGCCGCGTTCGTTGCCCCCGCTCGCGCGCTTTTACTCGCGTGTAAAAGATGCGCGAAGAGACGTCATCGATTTGGACATTAGACAAGACGTGAAGGTGACGGCGAAAATTAGCCGAGAATGTCCATTTAATCGCCATCGCGATAAACACAAAATCGCTTTCGCCTTCGTGTCGTCATAGGTGAATGAGTTACCCTGCGAGGTTTTTTTGTGTTATAAAAGGCACTAAGGAAGTTTTGGTGTACAAACAGAATGCCCCAGTGATATAAACAACATCGCTGCGAATGGAAAACGAAGTATATCTGCTGATAACCACGTAGGAGTATTTAGGATCTTAATTCATAAAGTGTAATTTTACTGAACCACTGTTCTCTTCATTTCGTACGAAAATGTGGCGTCTCATAATCATACGGTGGTTTTAGGATGTTAAACCCTACATATCAATCAAATTATTCATTTAGTACGAAAATATTAGCTGAAGTTGTTCCGCAATGTAAGACTGCATGACGCCATGTTCTGGCACCATCATGTCGAATGGTGAGTGCTCCTAAAACGATTAGCCCTATGACATTTGCTATGAATCAAAATATTTCTAGCTTGTCACCAGAACACCGAAGTAATTATTCAGATCCATGAATTTAACTACATTTTGCTTTTTCGGTGCACTCCAAGATGTGAACTGCTCCAGAGCGCTCTTAGATGCCAATTATTTGCTCCAAAGTGTTCCGAAATGAAAAGTTTTGCTGCTCCGAAATGCTCCAATGTGCTCCAAATTGAAAGACCTGAGTAGCATTACTGCGTAACAACTTTACAACAGTAAGACACTGCGTTCGCACATCGACGCGGACTCCCTTGTCGTGAGTTTATACTCGCATCCTGCGGAAATACCAGTGTGCCTTCTGTAAAGCCTGTATTCCAAAACATGTATCCAAATGAGCGCTTTCTTTTTTTTTTTCAGGTACGAGACTCACGAAGAAGTGACCCCGACTGGCGTCCAGTCTGTGCTGGTGATCCACAACACCGTGAAGAAGGACGCCTCGCAGTACGTGTGCATTGCCAAAAACGACTACGGGAAGACCAGGGACGTCTTCAAGCTGGCCGTACTCGGTGCGTGTTGGCGAGTTACGCAACCAATACTTTTGTATGCTGCTTCTTAACCTAATTACAGAGCACCTTTCTCATACTCGCTAAGTGCTTTTTTTTATTCTCATGGTGGGTTTTCGTGCGACTCGAATAGCCGGTACATCATTCATGCATGATGCGAAAATACCGGGCGCGCGGCGTCAGAGTAATCAAGGAAACGCATGCGAGATCAATGGCGGTTATTCTTGTGTGACCAGAATACGCCCCGTTTGCATGTAACTGTTTTACAAAGCGTATATATTGAGCGTTTAGGCATAAGTGTTTTACATATTATACAGATATCTTTCAGAGTCTGAGATTCCCACAATACGTTGTCATCGGTGGTTGGCGACCGCTGATAAGAAATCAATTAAACTTACTGTGGCTGCAAATTAAAAGAGGCCTGTTATCATCAGGGCATTCAGCGTCTTGCACAACGCTTCATCATCGATTCCAATGAAAGCCGGATTCCACTAGTTTGCTAAATCAGGATTTCACGATTTTATTTTTTCTAAAGTGATGCACGTAAACAAGCCGGGTTATCACGTTCGAGGTTTACCATTTCTCTTTCGTGTGCATGCGTGTCTCTCTCAGGACCGAGTATAATCCAAGTTGATTCTTTCCTAATCTTCTCGCCCGATCTTATCTGCGCCGCAGAGCCACCGGAGAGCCCCACCAACGTGGCGGTAACCGAGCGAGGCAGCCGCCACGTGCAGATGAAGTGGTCGCAGTCGAGCAAGACGGTGACCCGCTACCTGGTGCGCTACTGGAAGAAGTCGGGTGAGTGACGCCCTCAGTCTGCGCATCAGATTAGATCACCGCTCCCGCTGAGGAGTTGTGTGCACTGATCGCGTGAACGCTTTGGCAACATGCCACGGGTGAGATTATACGACCCTTAACTGAGAACGCTATCGATGGGCGGTTACGTTATCGGTGCGGCCTCTCGAATGGCCACTTGTCGGCAAGTTGCGAGTGCTGGCTTTTGATCTTGGCCGACAGCGAGGCGTTGACCGACTGATAATCCTCTTTGCTGGAGGTGCGAGATGTCTATCCACGCCGAGTAAATACGCGGATTATGCCGAGGCTCGGAACGAGGGAACATGTTCTTCATTCAGCTATACGTCAAGAAAAACATTCGCACAGTTTGTCATGCGTTCCCCTTATACAACTAGAAGGCGACAGCCACCTTAGTCTCGATCGATTCTATTGGCTCTTCAAAAACTTCCCGAGTCTGATGTGGTTTTGCACTGGCGCCGGGATCGACCACCTTTCACCAAGCAACGCTATTTTAAAATTACGCCACCGTAAGACGCTATGGTGTCGTCAAGTCGTCTCAAGCTTTGGCGATTTGTGGCGTCACATTGAGGTTATAAGTATGGTCGACCTGCGACATCACGAATACGTAATTACAGGATCATTTATAGAGTCCCTTCGTATTGATGCCACCGCCGACGGTCACCTTTCGCGTTTAATGAGACATCTAAGGGTTTCACTGTAAAAAGATACCAAAGAGAAACAATGACTTAATTTAGATAGCTGAACTGCACTCTGAAAGCCCCAATGCCAAGTGGTTCACTATCGTAAGTTCATTATTACCAGAGAAAATTAGGGTTGAAGTTTTGTCTTTAAAGTTCGCACCGAAACCTTCGCGCATAAGATAACAAATTTCGAAATGTAGTTTTCATATTTTCGCGACAGTCGCTCGATAAAATTCACCGGAACTTGTACTTCATTTTCATAGATTAGAAGCTATACGTATAGGACCCAGTAGACGCCTTCAATATCTATGACGTCACAGTGTTTGGTACGGCAATCTCAAGGTAGCGTCTTCACCCGCATTTTCTCGCTTTCCATGAGTCGTGTCGCGGTTCTGAAGCTGTACTTTACTAATGCGCGAAAAATCATTTTTCTCCTAATTATTGTACAAAAATTCACGCGAACCACTCAAGTCACTGTAAAGCATACGTTGTTCAATCACGACTCACTTTAATTTACGTTTATTCAATTGCAACATGCTCTGAGTTCACTTTGATTTGATATTAGGTTGTACATCTGGCGATTCAACATCGGTATTTACCGTCGTGACAATTTCGGCACCATTCATCCTGACGACGCGGCCGGACGTCCAATGTTTCGACCAGCCCCTCCTGTATTTTAGAAATGCCAGCTAGATTCGTCCGATTCAGCCGCTCACCACCCTCTCCTCTAGCCCTTTCCTGCTCTCGCCCATCGCCTATAGCCTTCACTTGTGCTTTGCGGTCATGGGGGAGAGAAACCATCATGTAGTGCCTTAGGACATAAACCATATGAACTAAATTTTTTTTCAGTTGTGTACAGATCTGTGGGGAGGCGTCTTGCATTCCTTGTTATCACAATGTTCGCCGTCACGCTAGCTCTGAATTGATACGTTGATTTACGTTGTTTTACGTTGCTTTACGGCATTACACGGCACTATACGGGCAAACAATGGGGACGCCTCACAATAACGCCGCTGCATAACTGGCGCTGTGAGGTGGGGGCGACATTGCTTCCAGCCACAAAGAAGGAGCATGTAGGAACGAATTTGACACACGTATGATATTGGAGAAGGACGCACGTCTATCGCTTCTCCTGGGAAAAGCGTTCGGAGGGACGTGTGATACAAGCAGCCCTGCCCCTCATGTGGCGTCGCATCACGACCTCTCTGAATTAAGACGGACCAATGGCTCCTGTTGAAGAGCGCGTTTCCACTGGCATTGAATGAAATAGAAGAGGCGTTCTTTCAACGGATGGGCCAGATATCTCAAGTCTAAAAAGTACAGCATATCCGCGAAGTGAATGATGATGAGTAGGGCGAAGCGTCCATGCGTTCGTCCGTCTGTGCGTCTGTCCTTCCGTGCCTCGGGATCCTGCCGACGAGCACGAGCCGCAGCGATCATCCGCACCCGGCGCACCTCGTTGTCCACGGTCTGCCAAGCGGCGCGATCCGGCAAGCGCACTCGTACGGCGACGATCCAGGAGAAAAAGAGATAACGGGTGCGCGGGCTGAGCCACGCGCAGCAGCCAATCGGAAGAGCCGCTGGACCGCCAACGGCATCTAGCGTACCTTCCCCCAGCCGCCATATTGTACACATGTCTATGGGACAGCGCCATCACGGAAACGAGAAATAGAATGCGTACAGCGCCATCTAGTATATCGTCACCCAACTGCAGTTTGCATGCGTCTTTATGGGACAGCGCCGTCTATTCTATAAAAAGGGAGACGCTACTGGGTACAGAGGATGCTCGACGATCGCCGCCGCTCGAGCACCGGCCGGGTTTCACCATAAGGAGCTTCGTCCCTAAAATAAACAGTCACACGCAAATAGCGGACTACAATATTAGTAAAGGACAACGAAGCCAGGTTCGCAGTTTCACCGGCTGTATAACTTGGCGTAAGCATTAGGTTAATATGAGCAAACATAAGCAGCTCTCATTTGATGATCACGGAACGCTATAGCTGTTAAAACGCCGGTATGATGGGCACACGCAGAGGGGAGGAGGAATGAACGTTTATTTTTCGAAACGGTGTAGCGGTGTAGGTTCCGCGTCCACCTTAGGAGGGAGGTGTCCTCATTCCAGGAACCCTCCGGCCTTCGCTGCCTCCTTGGCCCTGGCGACGAGACGTCGTTGTTGGTCTGCAGGCCCTCCAAAGCGAGCTTGGCCTCCCACGCAGAGGGGAATGAAATAGTTTTGCTACTTTTCGTTCGAAAACGTCAGATATTATAACACGTGTATAACATTATTATGATACTACGTTAACGTGAGTAATTATAGTCTCTGAAAGAAGGCACAGACAAAACTTTTGAAGGAGCCTTCGCAGCATGCGAGTCGCGCTGGGAGCGGTGTATCGACCCCCAAGGAGACGATTTTGATGTCGAGATAGTATGTACCGATGCGATCAATAAATTCTTACTTTTTGGAGAGGCCCTGTATTCATTTATTCTTCACCAGCTTCGCCTGTCATTGTCACCTAGACTCCCTTGTGAAACTTGCGAAGTTTTATGAAGCAGGCGTTCGCCACCGTATACGTCGCGATCAAGGCAGCCGCGTGGTAACGGCGAGCGATATATAAAGCACTGAATCAGTGTTAATTCGTTGCTTCCTTTCCGTATTTCAGGCAAGGGCAGCGTTCTCCAGGAACGCGAAGTGGACGGACTGCGTCCCAGCCTGACGGTGACGAAGCTGCATCCGGGAACCGAGTACACGGCCGTTGTCCTCGCGGAGAACTCGGTCGGATTCGGCGAGCCCTCAGACCCGGTGCACTTCACCACATCCTCCGAAGGTACGATGCCATAACTGCGCACAATCATATTGAGCTGCGTCTTCTGCATAGCTTATCTTACATCAATGTGTAATAGGGGGATTAGAACAGTGGCTTTCGCATTCGATTAGCTTGTTCTACGGAAAGCACGCTTCAAGTGGGATTTTATGTGTTCCGAAGAATTGTTCGACGAGTTAGCGTACGCTGTACTCTACAATGAGTGGGTATCAATACAAAATGGTAATCGTGCGCCTTAACTTGCATATGTCAGTGGCACTGTCGTACGCGAGAAACCTCGCTCAGGTCAACGTAGAAAAACAGGCCTTCAAAACAGCGCTGGTCACAAGTATCTGTATGCGCAGTTTGCCAATGGTTCATTATTTTTCGATCATAAAGCTTGCCCTCGATAAACCGTTTCTGATATGGAAATTTAATCTTTTATCGAGGTTGGACGTCATTTGACGTTACCGCATTTAGTGGTTGGTTTGATATGAACGCATGAGCGGCGTTTTCGCGTTGAACACCTGAAATGCTCCGCTGCTAAGCACCTGAATGAAGGTCCAATTTCCAGCAAGGCAAAGAGGAAGGATTGCGATTAGGAGGGGAGCACTGTACAATGCGATAGAAAAACAGAAAGTATAGTCGGTTACAACCCAAGAATAAAAAATCACAGCATATCCACGGAGTGCATGATGAAGAGTGGGGCGAAGCGTTCGTCTGTCCGTCCGTTCGTTCTTGCTTCCGGTCTGTCCGTCTATGCGACCATCCTTCCGTGCGTCCATCCTTGCGTTTATCTGACCATCCATCGGTACATCTAGTGAACACTCCAAGTTCCGCCATCTCGTATGTTTTCATCATATATTCATCATATAAAAGTACCGCCATCCAGCGGACATTCCAAGGACTAAACGAGAGGTGGCACGGCCGGACTATACTCCGTTTCATACATCAGGTGCAACGCTGTGTAGGGTATGCAAGAAGTTAGGTCACTAAGGTATATGACTACGCTCGTCTCGTGCTTGTCTTTCATCGTTGCAAACGCTCGTGCGAGACAAGCGCGAACGCGCTCGCACAACGTCGCGGAAGGCGACCAATAAAACATTAAGAGGTGAGAACAAAGGGACGCTACCTAAGTGATTCAGAAAAACTTATAGACGGCAGTATAACAGGGCGTAATTGCCAGCGACTACCAAAGCATGTTATTTATTGTTAAGACCAAAGATGAAATAAAAGCATTCCTCAGATGGAAACATCATCGTACCATTTTTTAGTGCGAACGCATTTATTGAAAGAAGTCTCGCTAACCTCCACATCGTTGCACCTGATGTATGAAATGGAGTACAGAGGAGCGGCACGCGCGCACTTTCTTACGGCCTGCGCTTCGCGTCTAGTTCCCGCCTTTCACCGCCGCTAGTTATGGCACTGTGGCCCAAACCTAGCTAAACCTTGCTAAAACCAAGGAGGTTAATAAATGTAAAAGCTTATCTTGCGGTCATTGAAGTGCCACAGCTAACATGAGAACCGCGAGGGTGATTAGCGCTGCTCAAGCAGAGGTTAGGCGAAGCGGCCGATTTCTGTCCGCGTGTTAGAGCTGCCGTCGAATGCTCAAGTACAATGGAAACACGCCACCCGTCTCGACGAGCATGAAAAGACGCGAGGGAGGGGTGGGGGTCGCTTGAGCAACAGCTGTGAAGTTAGCCTCTAAGGGCGTAGTTGCGACAGCCGGCGCGCACACTATCGGCAAGCGCCACCAGCGCACGGCTCGTAAACCCTTCTACGTGGTGCGCTCTTAACGGGAAAAGATAGTGCGATGAGAGGATTTCTCCCTGGAGCGGCCGTACTTATTCTCTTAAAACCAGCGTTTTGTAGAGTGTCGCGATGTCGGATCCAAAGGAGTTAGCTTCCAGCCTTCGTATACTCTCACGGGGCTGTGATGTTGACTGAGGCGCAGCCGCTGTTTTCGTGAGTGAACTTTTTTTCTGGCGGGGCGAACCTGCGCCCGGAAAACAGAATGTCTGTCTACAAGCGATTCACGATGTAGACTGATAGTAGCAAACCAGAGCGTCGGCCGTGGATAATCTGCCAAGCAGTGAAGTGCGTCGGCATTTATACATGCGCCATCGAAAATTCCAGCGTCATCGCTAGCGGCCACCTAAGTTTCAGAACAAACTCTATGTACGGTAATCTTATCCGAACATTTAAGATTATCTAGATGGTTCTTAGTCATAGGGGCGCGATTTCCTCAAGGCAGCGTTACACACGCAATGGTGAGGTAACAAAAATAGAAAGGAGCGCGTGCGGCATTACAATTAAAGCATGACAAACATGTTCACCTAATTATATACGTATAAAAATCAGACTAATGCTCTATTCTAAGAATAAATTTCTTGATGTAAATATTTCTGTGCATTACATTAAGCACCACACTTGCCTATAGGCTATCGGTAATCTTTCTGTTATACCTCCATCATTCTAAATCTGAACAGTAAATTTTAAAGCCACTCGATTCTTGGCCAATCCCCCACAGTGGGTATGCGCCACTAACGATAGGAGAACAACAACAACAACAAATTGCTGCTATGCAACCACTGCTACGCCGTTGAAGCTAATTTTTATATTAAATTTTTTTTTAGTTTCTATGGTTCGACGGTCGCCATCGCAGAGGATGCGCGATGGCGGTGTTTGGTAACGGCGCGACGATTTCTTTTTTTTTTTTGCCACATTACGGCCGCATTTACTGTTTGACTAACAGCTTTTCTGTTAAACATATATGTAGTCGCATAATGAGGTTAGAAAAGAAACGCCACCTCAACAAGATTCATGCATTCTGATAACGTGGATTCATGCAAGAACCGAAATACGAGGTCACCGAACTAAGTTGATATGGACGCGCTTGCGTTCCTTGTGTAGGCAACACAAGTTGTTCGGTCGGTGATAAAACCCGCATAAATTTGGCGTTGCACGCGCACATTGTCGTTTAGGCGCAGCCGGTTAGATTGGCGCAGCTGACGCAGCACTTCCGAACCTGTACTTGAAACATTGAATGTGACGGAAAGTGATGTCGAAATACTTGCTGAAATTGCACAGAAGCTCAACATTTTTCGACCGAGCAGCACCAACATGTGTCTGTATAAGGAAGCCACCGGTCCGAAATACGCAAGCGTTTTTTTTTTTTTTTTTGCCGTCACATACGTAAGTGAATGCGATTCGATGAGCCACCTGCGGACACTTTTTCGGGGTGGGAGAGTTACGCTTGTAGGTGGCGTTTACATTTATTCTTAGGCTGTAAACGACTATAGTACATCAGAAACGCGGACGGCAAGCATCGCTTCACCCATTTTCCGGTTAGGGGAAGGGCTCCTGTTTCTTTTTCTTTTTTGTTCACCCGCCAGCATGCTTTGAATTCTGACTCGAAATCTGACTTACTACTTCGATGTCCATATGCCGTCGGCGCTCGCGGGCTTCAAGAGCACGGTGTGTGTCCTACAGCGACTCGCCCGTGCGATGCACCGATGCGAGGCGAGACTCATCTCCCACACTTGTAAGCGCTTACTGAAAGACTTGCACTCGGCACAAACTCACGCAGGCTGCTTAAGGTAAACAAATTTGAATTATCAAGGAGCGGGGCACCCTATAGGGTCTCTGCTTGTTGGAGAGGCGTGTCGTCCTCACGGTCCATACAAACAGGTACGTGCCACTACTCGCCATCGGTACGTGCTATGCATATTATTACTTGATGGTTCGGCGTTATTGCCTCATCAGCTGTATCGGAATTCCTGACGAAATTTAGAAAGCGCTCAAGTTTCTTATCTAAAACGAAAGACACAAATCTGTACGGTGAAGTCATCTGTTTGAAACGCTATCTCTATATGCGCAAACTCCTGGATCGAGTAAAGCAATAAAGATTTTGCTATGGAAAACACCGGTACACACTGCATGCATCGCCCGTCCCCAGTTTTTGGAAATTTTTCGAAAACTGTGCCCCATACTTTTGATGAAAGGGACCTGAAGGCTTTGCTTCGCTAGCTGTTGATTTTTTCGAACCCGTTTCGATGAGCGGGAACCGAGGTTTCCGCACCTCTTAGCGTTGTCGGCGGCTTGACCCTTTACTATCCGGAAATCTGCTAAGCAAGGTGAAATCTTTTTTTTAAAACTCCTAGGTTTAAACGATCGCATCCTAGGAAAAGTGGTTAAACACAACCTGCTATTGTAGACCCCAATGGCTTCGAACCACTATCGGCGCCGCCCCACGGGTGAACGAGGGTTGTTGCCTTTAGAGTGGTATTCGCGTTTGTTTAGCGAAGCTCACCCATAACAATCCGTATACTTTGTAATAAGGTTTCGTGTTGCTTATGAAGAGTCATCACTACGCTCATCATTGTGCGAAACACTTTCGATTTTAATGCATACAGTGAGTAAAACGTTTCCAGAGTAGTTTGAACCAAAGTTGCAGTGCAAGTGAGAGAGCACACTGCTTGAAGCCATGTACAGTTGATTTGATTGATATGTGGGGTTTAACGTCCCAAAACCACCATACAAACTCTTCTAAATGATATCAAAGCAGCCAGGCACTTCGAATTCCCTCTCTTGGAACGCCGATACTTAACTCAAACGGTGTACCTAGGAAAATTTTGGTACCTTTGCCATTCTGTTAAACCACCGCTCCACGTCTGCAGGAAAGTGCAAAGCTGCATCAGTTCATTTTTTTGGTCTGGTGGCACAGAATTGTTATCGCGTCCAGCGTTAGCTCAGCCGCGAGATCAAGGCGGTTTTGCATTCCCTGACGTTTCCGTCGCGGCTTCTACATTGTGCCTCCGCACTCTATTGCGAATACTAAGCAATGATGACATGCCCGCTCAGACACTGGCTCGCTACCATCTGGGGCCATCACTACGTGTCTTCTTGCCGGATAGCCAAATAAACAAAGGTCCCCAATCAACTGAATTACCATCTTTGTATCGAGCCCTTCTGGCATTTCACCGACGTTTGGGAGCTACGTGCCCAGAGATAGAGGTGGCCGATTCTAAAGTGGTGGACACAATGGCCGCCCTTCTACGGCCCTTGGTGCCCCAGCATCGTCAATCTGTATTGAACCGCGCTTGGAAACCAATAACTGCCGCAGTGTTGCCAGGGCATCTCAGAGACTTTGTCTGGAGGTTGGGCTGGGGCTTGCTCCCCACGCGAGATCGGTTGCAGCGATGGCAGGTAGTTCGCACTTCCACTTGCCCCAACTGCGACATGGTAGAGACCAATCGACATGCGACGTTTGAATGTGTGGTTTCCCGCCTTTTTTGGCGTGCGGTTAATACTGGTTTTCGGGGACAGGGTGTGCGAATTTTCGTGTCCAACGGCCGATTTCCGCGTAGCCGCTTCTCCGCTCTCTTAATAGTTGCGGGGCTGTTCAGCCTTTGGAGAAACCGATGTGAGGCCGTAGCTGCCAATTGCCGCCGGCGTGCCTTGTGGCCGATACTGGGGAGAATGAGACGAGAGATCCTCGCGTTCCTTTCCGAAGAGCTTTTCTTCCTCGGGGAGCAAGAGTTTCTGCGGCATTGGTCGTGCCCTTTCGTGAAGGTGGAACACGAAAGGATACAACTCATTTTTCGACCGACTTGGTGCTAAGCAGCGCCCGTTGAGTTGTTATATATGATTTCATTTGTTACAAATTGTGTTTCATTTGGATCTATTGTATCGTTATACCCTTGTATCGTGATATCACATTGAATATTTGTGTACATGTATGCCAACATAATCATGTATATTAGAGCAAATGTCTTCACTGTAACGTAGTGATGTTAGTCGTGAAATATAGATGTGCCGATGTATATGTGCCCTGTTACTGGAATGGTATGAAGCCTTTGTGTTCTGTACATGCTGTAAATAAACTTTTTCTAAACAAACCACCATATGATTATGAGAGACGCCGTAGTGGAGGGCTCCAAAAATTTTGACCACCTGGGGTTCTTTAACGTGCACCCAAATCTGAGCACACGGGCCTACGACATTTCCGCCTCCATCGGAAATGCAGCCGCCGCAGCCGGGATTCGAACACGCGACCTGCGGGTCAGCAGCCGAGCACCTTAGCCACTAGACCACCGCGGCGGGGCGCCATGTACAGTTCAATCGTCTCAATTGGCAGTGCGTGTGCTGCGCCACTGATAGCTGTCGCGACGGTTTTATGCTTTCCCACGGTAGATTAAATTGTACTCTAAATCGTTAATCGTTGCTGGCGCTATAAACGACAGCTGCGGAGTGCTCTGCCACGCTGCAGTGAGTAAAATAATAAATAATGCTACTTTTTTTTAAAAGAACTTTCACGCCTTGCTATGCATTACCACGGCACCGCAAACAGTTTCTAATTAACCGTATTCGGAACTCTAAAAAGTATGGAGAAAGCAATGAACGAACGTATATTAAGCCATACACTCATTTTTTTTTTTGTTAGGACCATGCCCTCTTTCAATGAATATCTTTCTTTTTTTATGAGCACCGTGAAAGTAAAGACGCAATAGTTGAACAGTTTCCTAAGAACCTGTGTAGCGTTCGCCTTTCTACCTGTTTCAGAACGGCAAGCGCAACTTCCGAAAACGATGGTTCGTATTCTGTGTGACGAAAACCGATAAGGAAAAAAAGAAAACACTCAAGCATGCACGCCTGTTTTGTCACTATAGTTATCGCCAGCGCTTCATTTGCCATCTGCCGCATATTCCCTGCGTACGCAAACGTTTGCGTCTTTAGGGAGCTTTAGAATACCGTTTGCAAGCGCTGCGGGCGTTGCGGGCGCCATATGAGTTTTAGAATAGCGTTTGCCCTACTGCGATCTGCAACGCACAATCGCAGCGACACCGTAGCCTCGAAAACAGCGCTTGCGGGCCACATGCGGGCCGCCATTACCGCACGCAATTTCGGAGTTTTTGCGTGCGGTCCGCGAACGCCGACTTGCGTACGACGCATGCGCAGTAGCAGCGACCACACCGCGAGGGCTCGCGGTGCGCTATTCTAAATCTCCCTTTTTTTTTTGTGCTCCTTGGGGGCAGCTGTAAGTACGAAGGAAGGCAAGAGCGTGCGTACCACGCAAACCGCCTCGGGTCCCTAGCACCATAACGTTCTATTGCAACGCTTTGCGCTTATGGCTTTATTGTATTGCGATCTCTCTGCTTTAGGTAAACGCGATTGGGCTCGCAACCCTTTGTGTGCGGATTAGTAACGTGCAGTTCTGCATTACACCCTGAGCATGCGCGAATTCGACTACTGGGGTTCGTGGTGCAGCTATGGGAAACTGAAATAAACGACGCAGGAGCAGCAAGGAAGACCCTGCAGTTTGTGTGCGACTACTTTTCTACGCCGAAACCTCAGGACAGTTATGTGCGCATCCCCCAGTGAGAGAAAAACAAACTCGATCATCCAAATGCGTCAGGCGCCATTTGCGAATCACTCCACTCATCTCGGTAAACTCTCTCTTCTCCCGCAGAACCTGGCGCGCCTCCAATGAACGTTAAGTGCGAGGCCCTTGACACCAAGACGATCAAGGTCATCTGGGAGGTGAGCATTCACCCAGTCTACAGATATATTTGCACGACTTGTACGCGAATACTGAGTTGTCTAACACACAACTGCACGGGGCGAAACACACAAAAAAAATCACAGCATATCGACAAGGTGAAAGATGACGAGTGGGGCGAAGCACGGACGGACAGACGGACATCCAGGCAGACCGAACGAAAGGACGCACGGAAGCACGGACGGGCTGACAGACGCTTCGCCCCACTCATCATCATTCACTCCGTGAATATGGTATGACACCGTTGTTATTGACATGTAATACAACCGGCTACGGGGTATACGACACAAGGCGTGAGGAACTTCGCCCCTAAAGAGATATCCTCATGTATCTTCGTGACCACTAGTTACAACTCCGTTGACCACCTCAACACGATAGCGAGAAGAGTGCGTCGTATTCCTCTCTCGTTCTTTATGATGTCGCACTGTCAACTCACGTGGCTACCAAAACCAGCCAAATTAAGTACTACTGGACAATCTTGACCTCACACCTTTTCTCATTCACGCTGACCACAACGTCACGAAGAAAATCATTCACGAAAACTCCTTAGTTAGGCGACCTTCCCTTTCGTGAAATTGGGGAGACGCGCTAGTGGTATTTACCAATGATCTACCTTATCCTCCTGTTCCAAACTCGAATTACGATATGGACTATAGCATGAACCTGCAAACTCCCTATCGCGGTGTGCTTGCAGCAGGAAGCCGAAGCTCCAGATGTTCGGGCTTCATGTTCTTCTGTTCGCCATTCACCGGCACAAAAACACTGGCGAATCGTAGCGGACTGTAAAAGACCCGCAGGAAAGTGAGACGGCGTTTCGCGGAAACTGAAGGCACTCGCCTACTTTGCCGCAGGGCACGGCAAGGGGAATTCAAAAACAAGTGTCGCGGAGTTCAATATGTGGAACGCTGGTGTTTCTGCACTGCGCCGTGCTTTCGACCGGGTTGCAGAAAATTAGGTGCCTTTTCTCATCTTCTAACCACTACCACCTGTTTCTGTTTGGGATAGATTACTACAGGAACACCGTAGTAATGCAGCGAAAACGGAAAGTATTATGCACTTTCTGTAACCAAGAGCCACAGGAAAGCGAGACGGCGCTTCACGGGAACTCAAACCGTGCGCCTGCCTACTTTGCTATGATTGTTATAGGGCCTGTCGCGAAAACCACAACTCTACATCGACTCTAGGCGACGTTCCGAAGCATTCGTGTAAGTGAGGGAGTGAGAGAAACAACTTCATTTTGTTCGCAATAGGCGCGAGTTAAGTCGACGTCACCTGGCTAGGCGCTCGCGGGGGCAGTCAGGTTAAACCTAACTGCCCTCGCGCGGGCCCCTCTGGACGGCCAGAATTTGAGAGGTGACGTCCTGGACCTTAAGTAGCGTGTGAAACGAAAAATTGCGGAAACCGAAACTATACACGTATGCAACATACGCCTGCCGCCCGACGCAGGCACCGCCAGCGGACAAGCTGAACGGCGAGCTCCGCGGCTACTCGGTCAGCTACCGCCTGGAAGGAACGCCCTTCAGCCACGAGACGGTCAACCGGAACGCCAAGCAAAAGGTGTTCACCGGCCTGCAGGCGGCCTCGGTCTACACGTTCTCGGTGAAGGCCTTCAACGACGTCGACTCGGGACCGGCCTCCGAGGAAGTCTCCTGCACTACGCTCAACGGAGGTGGGTCTGCACGGCAGAACACGCGTGCGTTGATTACACGTGTTGCGGGACTAGTTGTAAATCTAGCAAAGTGATGTAACAGCACAATGCCATACGCTCCCAGAATGCTGACCGTGTTTTCGTTTCGCTCAACATATCATTCGAATCTTGGTCTATGTGAGTCACCTCAGTTGGGACAACATAGCAGAACAACATTGCAGAAGTGTTATAAGGTATGCCTATAATTACTGTCTTTCTTTTTCTCTTTGAGTAACCATGCCATAGCCGCCTAACGCTGCATCCGCCCCTCTTACCCGCTGTTTGTGACCGGCAAGCGGTTGTATACAGGTGCATCATATTTACCCGCACAAAGCACCGGAAGTAGCCTCGTTGTTTTATTACACTGAACATGTGTCCTGTGGAGCGAAGGTTTGTTTCCATTCGGATCAAGAAAACCATGGTCGGCAGGAGTAACCCATTGCCAAGTGCTGACGCACAAGGTCATGCACGTCGTACAATCCACGTGACGTATACATGTTTTAAAGATATATTTGAGTGCCAACATGTTGGCACATCGCAAGAAAACGAGGACGCAGGAAGGACACAATCAACAACTAGCGAAAGCATGCATCTGTTTTTTTTAACACGAAAGTGTTTTATGCCGGGGTCCAGCACGGCTCCGCGGACGTACTTCCGTCACGGAAATGACGTTGTAAACTAAGAGACTGCAAAGAAAAAGAAACAGAGGGCAAGCATCTGTCGCGCGGTATCGAACGATCAACCTCTCGATTCTCAGCGCGCGGCCCAAACCACTACGCCACAAAGGGCACGTTGTCTGGTATGCTAACGGCAAGCCATTTATATATACTATAAACCGTTCGGCTGTCCTCAGAGCTTCGAAACATTAGCGCGTTTTCGTTATCAGTGACGAGCTGCCGTGTCAGGCTCGCGTTGGGCAGAACCATATATGCGTTGGGCGCGCTCTAAAGGCCGTCGTCTGTATACCAAGGCGCCGCTTCCACGGAGCGTGGTCTCCCCAGCGCACACGCTTATCAGACTAGTAGTTTGGGAAAAGACGAAGGTCACTTCGCGCGCTGCTGACTCACGACGCCGGAATTGTGACCGTTGTTCGCGCTTCTCCTGTGTTGTGTATCTTGTGCGCTCGTTTCTCGCACCTTTCTTTGTGTTTAACAGGGCACTTTAAATGTCAATCTGTGACAGTTGTTGGTGCAAGGTCGTCTTGTGTATTCTAATTTCGTACGTGCTTTCTGCTTGAGGTGTGCGCTGCGAGTTAGTAGCTGCTTAATGTTTCGAACAGGACTGCAATTTGTTGCTGAAACAATGCGCAATAAAAGCTCAACTACATCTGTAAATACACGTTAAACTTCCGCGTTATACCGATTCATATAGGGGGATCAGCCACGTTTTTTTATTTGAGTGTATACCATTCATCGCGTCATGCACTGAGTTAATTTTCATGAGAACGCATGCTCGAAAACGTGCGGCGTACCGCCTGACAGCGCGGTTGGGGTCGTCGCAGCTACGTGAAGCTTCTTAAAGATCGCTTGTCCAGGCGGAGATCTGAAATAGTAAACAGTGATGCCGCAACACGTTCGCTCGCGCGATGACCACTGATTTCTTTAGCCTCCGTTGAGAGTCTCCGAGCGCTCAGGCATTGTTACGCACTGCGTCTGTGAGCGCGAATCGTCTATGATCCCGTGTTAATCATTTCCGTAAGGCCGCTCGCGCTTCATGGCTCGTGACACCACTGTTATCCTTCTTCCAGACCCACCTGCCGTACCGAGCCTGCGAGTGACCGGAATAACTTCGTCCTCCGTAAGCCTCAACTGGAACACTCTGCAGAACCCGGCCTCGCCTGTCATCCGTGAGTGTGAAATCATTCACAGATTCACTGACCAACGTTCGCGAGGGCAACCTGGCTACGTTTCCAGAAGCGCTTGCCACGTGCCAGTTGATACACATGCGAAAATGTGCGACCTGTGCTTAATGTAAAATGGTAACGCTACATTTATTTAATGTCTTTAAGATCGTCCGTTATCTTTTTTTATGCGTATATATTCTACTGTGTATAATTTCCTCCCACCGTGCCTACGGCTTTGAGCGCTGGCGCGGACTCTTGCCTTCAAAAGGGCATCCCTGTCGGTGCAGGCAGGATCGGTTAATCCGTGCTGAATGAAAAATGGCGGTGGATTTAGGAGTCGATACATTGTGTCACATGGGCTGCAGTAAACAGAGGTTCTCCTTCACTCGACCTATATTTTAAGACCTAGCGAAAGATTTTGTTATGAAAGTCATTTCGTTGTAAAGGCGCAGTGAGTGTGTCTGCAATTGTAATCGCGTGTCGTCGCAGAGTACCTGGTGCAGTACGGCACGGACGAGGAGGACAAGGCGGACCTGCACATTCCGGGAAACAAGGACACCGTGACGCTGAGGGACCTGCGGGCCGGGACACGCTACAACTTCCGGCTGGCCGCGTACAACATGTACGGCCGAGGAGACTTCTCGCACAACCTGCCCGCCGTCACGCACCTCTCCGGTGAGCCTCTGTAGCCGTGTATACGCTGTCACGTGGCAGGTTGAGCCTGGCCCCCTTACGATCGCAAATCGACTTCGTTTTGCGCTGAGTTTAGGGATCTTTGGCCTGAGTTGCCCTTGCGCGTTTCAAAATGTACCAGCATGATCGTCATCACTTAGGCTCAAATATGTGGCTCTGTTTTGCATCAAACTCAACAAACACGGAAAATAGAAAGGTTGAATCACTGCCTTGTCAATTTTAGTGACAAAATTATCGTGATAGGGCGCATGATGTGTCGTCATGACGTCTGCAACATAATGTCTTTGAATGATGTTTGGTTGAAGCGCTTCCTACTGAACTGATTGATATGTGGGGTTTAACGTCCCAAAACCACCATATGATTATGAGAGACACCGTAGTGGAGGGCTCCGGAAATTTGAACCACCTGGGGTGCTTTAGCGTGCGTCCAAATCCGAGCACACGGGCCTACGACATTTTAGCCTCCATCGGAAATGCAGCCGCCGCAGCCGGGATTTGATCCCGCGACCTGCGGGTCAGCAGCCGAGTACCTTATCCACTAGACCACCGCGGCGGGGCGCTTCCTACTGAACTAACTGTATACAGTCAAAGTGGATGATAAGGCTCCTCGTATTTCTAGGGATTTCTCGCTAAACACAGTTAACGCCACCTTGTAATCACGTTCGCTGAGGCCCTTTGTAAAACACGAGAATTACTGGCTGAAAATGCATTAATGTATTTCCGCTTGGAGAATGAAATAAACATCAAAACTGCCGCAACTCGCGGAGCGCGCTCGATATATGCGTCAGACACTTCGTGAAACATGGCCGTTTTCTTCACTCAAATTGTCCTGCGAATCAATACCGGGAATCGAGGAGTGAAATGGAGTCACAGTGGGCTTGCAAAGGGTTTCGGGTGCACATCTTAACTCAACATTAGTGTGTTCCGCTAGAGTGACACCAATTTCCTTTTTACCCGCCACAGTAGTGTGGTGAACACCGTAGTCTGTGGCTTACGGTGATCGACTGCGGAGCCGAAAATGGCGGGACCGAATCCCGGCCGCGGCGGGCGCATTTTCGAAGGAGGTGAAAATGAATGTTTCCGGGTCGTGTACTTCGATTTCGACGCAAAGAGGACCGGGTCGTCGAAATTTCCGCGAAGCCCTTCCGTAAGGCGTCCCTCACAACTATATCGTTGTTTCTGACGTTAAGCCCCAGCAATTATTAAGTTTCCTCTTTCTCCCGTGTCGTCAGACGGCCGGTCGCTGCAGGTGACGACCGAGAGTGAAGTGCCCTTCTACTACCGCACCTACTTCGTGGTGCCCGTGGCCGCCTCCTTCACCGTCATCATCACCGCCGTGGTCATCGCCTGGGCGTGCCTCAAGAGGGCCACCATCATACAGAAGAGTAAGCATGTTGCTTCCTCGAACACCAATAACGTACTCGCAGTTCGCACGTGAGCATGGGCCGGCAAACACTTGTGAGCCGACTCACTCTGTCTCAGATAGAACCACGAGTCTGAATGAGTCCGGTTGAGTTTGGGAGGTCTGAGTCCGAATGGACCCTAAATGCAAGATATGTTTTTTTAATGAATCCGAGTGAGTGAGCTTCACGTGTTTTTTGCCGACCAATGCGGTGTTACAATCCACGCTATGTCGGCTTACGTTGATACTCACACATACTTCTAAGCTGGCGTTTATGCACTAGCTCAATATTTATTGATCAGAGACGAAAGCTACTGGTGAGGAACAGGGGGCTGGGGCAGGAGACCTGATGTCCCCAACCCCTGCAAACACTTTGGCAGGTAGTTCGTGACAAGAACATCGCGTGGAAAGTCGTCTTTTTCAATGAAAATGGCGGCACTGGGTTGCCAATCACTGATAACTCGTATTTTAAGGTACGAGATCGAATGGCTGCAAGCGGAGCACCGATTACGTGAGATAATGGCATTCAAGAAGATTGACACCATGGTCAAAAAGGCTGATTATTCGCTAACGGACTTGTGATCAGACTCAGATCGAGCCGCGACTTTTGCGAGACCGTGTGAGTAATCAATATTTTTCCGAGTTTGAGTCCGAGTGAACCCTTAGCGCGAAATAGTGAGCTTCAGATTTTTTGCCGCCTAATGCACATAAAGACTACGGGGGGGGGGGGGGGGGTCACAGCTTTGCCGCAAAGGCGAATCAATGAACGCGATAGCAACGAATTGGAAGGTCACGCGAGGAATGGCAACCAGATCTAAGCGTGCCCCGCGTTTCTCACGCACAAATGACGCACGAAACGTAATCCCAGGTACAGATGAACGCGAATAACTCATGACAAACGGTACAGAACCTGCAAAACGTGCATAACTGCTGGATTACCTAGCTGTGTCTCAAGACGCGTTCTTGGTGGCTATGTATACTGGGTGCGCATGTTGTAGAGTGCTGTTCGCGACTGCGGCAGGGATGACTGCACAAAATCAGTTTCACCGAAAATGTGAAGCAATAGATGTGATAGTGACAAATTTCAATGTTATACGAAGTGAAACTGGTAGTCAACTCACTCAGAATCGGTCTCACGTATATCTACAAAACGCTGGTGTATGAGAACACAGCCGCTCCAGGTACACTAATAACGCCGTGTTTTCGTGTTGATAGCGCAGCCCGTAGAAGCTCCCGTCTGCTGTGGGGGCACAAGCCGCGCGCTGATCGTTGTTGCGATAGCGTGGCACCCGTAAGCGCCCCCCCCCCCCCCCCCACCTCTTGCTCACTCACGAGATGAACGCGCGGGCAGACCCCCGCGACCGGAAATTCCATGTTCGCTCCGCAGAGAGAGGAGGCTAGCGCATACTTCCCCGTATATGTATACATACATATACATATACGTGAATACATTCATATAAATATAATGAAAAAAAAAACAGCCGACACTGTCCATGTAATTGCTACTGCAATGAAACGGGGAGCACACAGACGTGTTCGATAAGCGGAAAACACCGTCTCTAGACTAAGAGTCGGAGCCACGAACGACTTTTAAACCCGCTTCATACCCACAACACGACAACTTGCTAAGCGCCGGTGACTGCGACTTTATGATGACTCTCGTTTGGAATTGCGATCTGGAAACGGATATTCCACTTGTTTGCTATCGGCTTGAACGCCGTACAGGTCTGAAGCTTGTTTTTTTTTTTTTCTAGTTACTGCTTGCATTAGCGAACTTGGCCGAAATCTAGTGAACAGTAGGCGTTGACTGCACCTGCTTCTAAGTAGTGTTGAAGCAGATATATGATGTAACTCCTGGGCGAACGCGCACCACTCCTCTCGCAGGTTTGATCATTTGACAATATATCAGTACAAACGTTGGTATTTCGTATTTCTAACTTACACTGCACTTTCTTGTAAACCTCCTATAGCTCATTTTGAAGAGCTCATGCTCACACACCCTCACGCGTCTTTCGAGACGTGGCGGCGATGCCCACAACCGATGAGCAAATAACTGCGGCGCTGATTATCAAGCCACTGGACTTCGTCATAACAGGGTCCTCAGTTGTTCTTTCCTATAGCGCTCGCATTTCCGCGAAAGTGCGCCATGTATAAACTTATTACTGCGGGCCCCTCAGACTTTACTTACCAAGACTGCTTTGTCATTCATACCAAATGCATACCGCTATACACAACGAAACAAGCGTAAGCAGCAGTGCCCCATTGCGGTATCTTCAAAGGAAAGGTGGAGTTGAGTCAATGTGGAATTGAGCTAATGTCGCCTTGAGCGCTAATTCAAACTGTCGGACTTATGGCATCTTCGGCTGAGCTGCAACGGCACCGTGGCGGTGGAAGGGAAGTTGCGTGAAACGCCGCCAGAGTTTTGCGCCACGCTTCGGACAAGACGAACGTATGAACGACAAAACTTGAATCCTACAGAGTGCCTACTAGAGGGAATTCTAGGGAGAATCAAGGCACCCTATTGAATCCGCGATAGCAGCGCTGTTTGCGAAAGACGCCATTCAGCCGACTACAGCTTCGGGCGTTCTATTTGTACTGGGAATAAGGGCGCAAACGACGGAAAACTGTTCTCCAGTCGGTTGTGCTTCATCAGTTCTCTACCAACACGACGAGGGTTAAGGTCGTTTTCGCATCGTCTTCGGTGCCCATTTAAACGCCAGCAGCAAAAAGTAGCCTTCTGCGAACATGGTCGGACGAGCTAAGTACACGCACGTTTTCCCTTCCGCCAGGCCGTGTTCTGTGGCAGCGCCAGCTGTGAATTAATTTCGCACTCGTGGAACGTCGCCGCCACGTCTTCCAGCGCGTACGGGATGATGGCACTGCACCAAGCTCCACCATTCATTTCCGCAGTGGCGTGCACTGATGTCGTAACTAGCCCGGCCGAGCGTGCGGCACCGCGCGAGTGCACGAAAAACGCCACCGGTGCCGCCTGCCGAAGATGCCATTAATCAGGGATTAACTGCCATTCGTGAACTAGTCATTTCAGCTGCCCGCTGCCACATTCCTACAATGTATCATGTTCGCGCTGCGCGCGGCCTGCTAGCGACGGGTGGGTTGAAGGGCGGTAGTGGTTTCATTAAAATTTGGGTATGAAGAAAAAAGTACACCCCGCAACTGTCTCTCTAACAGGACGACACTTCAGCAGTAGCGCACTGGGGGAAGGCGAAAGGGGGTGAAAAAGAAAGTGAGGTGAAAGGGAGGGAGGTAAAGTAAAAAAAACAAAGAAAAACACTTTCGTTCGCCTCACACAGCGCGCTCGCAAACCGCCACGAGAACTTGCAACCGTATTGAAACGCCACCGAGAGGGCTGGAGAACAATATTCGCCGAAAAAGATGGTGGTGGTAGTGATGTAGTGGTTAGAATAGGAAGAAGGCATTTAAGCCCGGTAGGGAGCACGGCGCAGTCGATGAGTGTGGCAGTTTGGGCTAGTACGTATGACATGACGATAGTTAGTTATAGCGCGAGAACAGAACGACGACAAAGCGCTCGTGTCCTGCTTCTCTTTAATAACTATCGCAGTTGATGAGTCGAAGAGACGCATTAAAGGACGGGAGTGTGCAAAAGACTCGTCTGGGGCGAAGAGCTTAGGCACGAAAAAAAAAAAAGAGTTCTGTTTAACTCACAGGTGCGAGTCCCGATGGCCTCGATGTGGTCGAAATGCCACCGGCTATATCCCCAGCATCGTGCGCAGCAAGCGCTGCAGCACGAAGTCCACGCAGCGGTGAGTCAGCCGGCAGCACAACAAGCACGGCACAGACCGTGGCCGTCATCACCGCGTCCTTCGGGTCGGCAGAAGAAGCTGGTTGCACTTGTCAAGTGCCGTGGTTGCACTTGACAGGCTGGAGGGGCGCCTCGTAAAAGGGTGAGGGGCGTTATCCGAAGCGGTTCGGCCGCCACCGACGTCGCGAAAGGGCACCCTTGTCGAAGGTCACACTGCCACGCTTGTTGATGTTTAGCAGTCCTAGCCTTCTCCAACGCTTGACGGCGCCTTACGAGGTCATCCGAAGAGGCAATGATGACGGCCGCATTCCGCTGGATCTGCCAGTAAGGGCAGCGCGGCTCGTTGGCTGAATGCGGTGCTTTGCGGTGGCTGCCACTACATCGGAGACAGCGCTCGTCTCGCGAGTAGGTGTTCGTGGCGTGGCCGAAACGGGCACACTGCAGGGGCCGGGGCAGGCGCGGACGGACCGGACTGCACAGTTTGAAGAGGAAAACCCCCGATGGTACGGTTGTTCCCTCGAAAGTGATAATGACACACCAGCCACGGCGTGTACACGAGACGACTGGAACGGCCAAGTCGATGCTTGCGGTGATGTCAGTGGCATCCAAGTCATTGTCGACCCCGTACACGACACCCACGCAGGTGTTGTCCGTGGGGGGCTTGGCCATGACGTTTAGAGAGCAGATCCTCCGAATCTCGAGGAGCTCCGCAGGGTCCGCAGTCGGTTGAACGTCCACGGCAACGAGGTTGCGTTGAAGTTGACGCGGACGCGTCGGCTGGCGGTCAACCCGTAGAGAAACGCCACGATCGAGTCACGAGACGCGGCGTCAGTGAGCAGTGTTAGCGTGGCACGATAGACGTCATCGTCACGTGGTACGCTCCTCCTGTAGCGGGAAGAAAAAAAGAAAACAGTGAGAGGGAACGCCACATTACAATCTTCAAGATTGTTCATTAGAAGTTTTAAAACGGAAATTATGCTCTAGTCACGTTACAACATTGGTCGGCTCGCTTTGTTCGCGTCTGCTGCGGGCGTTCTAATTTTACCCAAGAGTCTCCTCGCACCACGGAGATTCACACCAGATAAGAGTTCAGAAATTCAGAAAGGTTATGCATTTATATTCACTGCGACATATATACGCGCATTCGACAAACCTTGGTGCGTCAACTGTCCCGTGCGGGGCCGTGAAAGAAAGTAGTATCTGCCAATGCTCAGTAAAGAAGTTCTGCTCTTTGAAGAAACATAAGGGCATGGCAATCCGTACGTACTCAATAGAAGTGTACGAGGGATCCTATTGATTGAAAACATAAACGATTCTTGCCAACTGTTTCGTTCCAGAAGCCTTAAACAAATTAGTCGTTATCGCGAGGCGTGGCAATATACAAAAAAAGTGCAGTGTTCGCGCGCAATAAAGTTTGCCACATTCGCGACTCACGCCCCGTTTGTGCGCATTTCCAGACGCATACCTGCAAGTGTACGGTTCCTCCGAATACTATGGCGACTGCAAGCTACCCCCAGGTAAGGAACGAACGCAGCATCAGCTAACTGCCTGTCGCCACGACTGCGCACGCTTCCAGGAGGCTTTCCTAACAACTTCTCTGTCCGGCTTCGCCACACTAACCGCCACTGACTTGCTGCTCGCAGCTTGAGAAGTCATCGCTCGGCTCGGTCACCAAACGCTTTTACTACTCACCGCTTACTAACACTCATCTCTTCACGCCTAGTTCTTCCTGCTGTCTGCACCAACTTTACTACCTCAATGTCGTTCCTATAGTTCACCGTCGCACCTTCTAGGCGAAACACCAACTTCGTTTGCTTTGCTTCAATGCACGGAGTATAACAAATAAAATTGAAAAGTTGGAAAATATTTTGCTCACGCACGATCCTCATGTCTGTGTGATAACAGAGTCTTGGTTACATGAAGCCATTGGCGATAGTGAGATTGTTCCGCCGAACTACCAACTTTTTCGATGTGATCGTGGTCATCGGGGCGGTGGAGTGGCTGTCATTATCAAGTATGGCATTGATGTAACTATTGCTGAGCGTTTTCCAGTGAGAGAGAGTCTGCTTTTAAAACTTTCATTTGCTGATATGTCATTTTTTCTCTGTGCGGTTTATCGATGTCCTAATGCTGATGATTCTTTTATGAGCGGTTTGTACGATGAACTACTACGTCTACGAAGCAAAAATCTTATTTTAACGGGTGACTTCAATCTGCCAGCCATTAATTGGGATGATATAAATTATGGTACTTCTTCCTCGGCTGACACACTCTTAGACATAATGTTTTCTCTAGGCCTTGAGCAAATGGTAGGACACCCCACAAGGGGGAGTTCGATACTTGATCTGCTATTTACAACGGAACTCTTTACCGAAGCGACTATCACAGTTGAAACCGGTATTTCTGACCATAGATTAATATCATTTGTTTGGGACAGGCATGCACGTTGTAAATCAGTGAAAACGCCAGTGGAAAGTGTTGTAAGAGATTTCAATCGAGCGGATGATGTTGCAGTAATTGATTATTTAGAAACACATCTCCCCACATCTGTTAGTGATGTTGATAGAGCCTGGCAGCGCTTCCGTGGTATTGTGGACTTCTGTACAAAGAACTTTGTCCCGCTTAGGAGAATACGCAGGCGTTCACATAACCCATGGATAAACCGTGAGATTATAAAGATCAAGAGAAAGATAAAAAGGTTACGAAAAATACACAAGACTAGTACGCAACATTTTTCCGATCTTAAAGAAAAATTATTAGAGAGTGTTAGCAAGGCTAGGCATCAATTTTTTAACGACACACTACCTGAATTCATCAGGACAGATCCTGATAAATTTTGGCGCTATATTAAGCAAACTAAAGAAGGCGTTTCTGAAATACAAGTTGATGAGGTCACGATAACAGATCCGGCAATAATTGCTGATCATTTTAATAAATACTTTCAGAGCGTCTTTTCCGAACCACAGTATTATGAACTGCGAGACCCGATGCCCATAATCACGGATGATGTTCTGATAACTCGTGAAGGTGTTTTACAAATGTTACTTAAGGTTAATCCTAAGAAATCGTCAGGCCCTGACGGCATTGGTAATTCATTCCTACGACGCTATGCTGAACAAATCACTGACTTCCTTACTGCCCTTTTCAATGTATCATTCAAATATGGTCAGATACCAGCCGATTGGCGTAAAGCTCGTGTTGTGCCGATCTTTAAAAAGGGCAACCGCTATTCCTTGACAAACTACCGTCCTGTTTCTATCACTAGTAGCTGCTGTAAAATGTTAGAGCATGTTGTTGCAAATTACATTAACACATTTTTATCAGAAAATAATATTTTGTCGCCTAATCAACATGGTTTCCGAAAAAATATGTCTACGGTAACACAGCTTGTGTCTACAGTGCATGAATTCGCACGGGTTCTAGATATATCTGGGCAGACTGATGTGTTCTTTTTAGATTTTAGCAAAGCGTTTGATAAGGTGCCTCATGGAAAACTTTTGTTTAAACTCGAAAATATTGGGCTACCTTCGGGTATCGTTAAATGGATTCATATGTACTTAAATAACAGAACTCAATTTGTTGAGGTCAGGGGTTGTTTTTCTTCTTCGCTAAATGTTTCTTCTGGTGTGCCACAAGGTAGTGTGTTAGGCCCCTTGTTATTCTTAATTTTTATTAATGATTTAGTTGATGTCGTACATAAGGACATATCCGTCAGATTATTCGCGGATGATTGTGTTGTTTTTAAAGAAATATGTTGTGTAAATGACCACATATTACTTCAACAGTCTCTTACAAGTATAGATGAGTGGTGTCAAAACTGGGGCATGGAACTTAATAGTGACAAAACAGTTCTCTTGAGAATAACAAGAAAACGAACTCCCAGCCTTTATACTTATTTTCTCCGCAATAACCCACTCAAAGACGTAGAAAAATACAAATATTTAGGAGTCACTTTGACAAAGTCACTTACGTGGTCAGACCACATTACAAGCATATGCACGGCTGCACTTAGGAAACTGTGGTTTCTTAAGAGGAAACTTAAATCCTCAACGAAGGAGACTAGATTATTGGCATATAACACCTGCATCCGATCAAAACTTGAATATGCCTCGGTTGTTTGGGACCCTCAATGTAAAAAGATATTGCCTTGATTGAAAAAGTTCAACGGAAGGCTGTCAGATTTATATTTAGCAAATATAAAAGATATGATTCGCCAACACAACTTATGCAACTAAATGATATCCAAACACTGGAAACTCGCAGGAAAATTAATCGGTTAACGCTCCTACACAAAATTCTTTCCGGTAAAGTTACAACAAGTCTGCCCAACTGTGTGAAACCTCTATCTTCTAGAAAAACAAGACATAAGCATAAATATTCATTGGCGCCAGTTTTTGCCCGTACCACTGCTTTTAAAATAGTTTTTTCCCTAGGACTATTGCTGACTGGAACTCTTTACCAATAAGTGCTTTTCAGTCCGAAGATATTGAAAAACAGCTTGAAACTTTTTTTGTTTAGTTCTGAATGATGTATCCATATGGTGTGTATTCGCAGTGCCCGAGTAATGTAGTTAGTTGACTTCTGCTGCGCATGAGTGTTCTGATCACTGTTTATGTGCCGTAACTCTGTTGTGCAAGTGCACTATAAGTTGTCTAATTAAGTGCTGTGACATTGTACTTTTTTTTTGTTGTTTTTGCCCCTCCTGCTTGGGCCTAAGTATAGGCCTGCAGAACCTGTAAATAAAAATAAAAAAAAAACAAACTGCGTTACGCGGTTATGGTACATACGTATCATCTCTTTCTGTTCTCCTCATAACCTTTAACATTCTTTTTCCCTTATTTAACACTGGCGCTGATACAGACGTGGCCAGGGACCGTTCAAAGCTCAGGGTAGCTGGACAAAGCGAAGCGGAAGCATAGCCTAGCATAGCACAGTTGAACAAGATGTGGGAACTATAACTGAGAGTGAGGAGGTTAAAAAGAAGGGGGAGAGAGCAGAGCACGGCACAGCCACGTTCAGTGTAGCAAGGGGTGCGAAAGGAAAATGGGGGTGAACGATATGTTGAGAAGGAGGTGATAGAGTAAATCATATGCACATTCATGTAGATATAGTACAGCACGGAGGTGAGAAAGGGAAGCGAGGCTGAAGAAGGAAAGCGGGAAGGGAGAGTGTAAAATACACCGTAGCCATGCATAGGTATAGTTAGGCAAGTGAGGGTGAGAAGAAATAATGCGAGGGGTAGAAAGGGAGAGAATAAGGCCACCAGGAATACTGTTGCCTTAATTTCCTTAATCTTTGTACCACTATTTCGTAGCTGCTCCCATTTTTTTTTCTCGGGCTATCCTTTAGGCAACGACGATTTTTTTTTACCGACTTCGAGACCTTGGCGCAGGCACCCCCTTGGTGAGCCAGTACGCCCGCGGTTCGTACGCGCCCACCATGGAGCACGGCCGCAACAGCCAGAACACGGAGGAGGCCTACGACATCCCCTGGGACGGGCCGCCCACACGCACTGGAATGGTGATGTCCACTGTACATTCAGTCATAAGTATTCCACGGCTGGGCTAGACTGCACCTGCGCGGTCGCTCCAAAGATGCACGCACTGGTGCAGTCTAGCCCGGCCTTGAGTATTGCTAATGAGTTCCGCGGAAACTTGCAAAATGACGAAAGGGTTAAGAAAGGGAAGACAACTACCCATTAGTAGCAAGAAGCCACAAGGAAATCCGTACGGATTTCTCAGAAAGGTTCTTATTTGCTCAAAAATTCGTCCTGGTCCGGGGTATGAAGCCGGGGTCTTTCGGAAGTGGTCGCTCTTCCATTTGGGCTAATTAGGAAGTTCGCAGTTGACAGCGCAAGGGCGAATTGATCGACAACTCGAAGCACGTAGACATAAGTACAGCAAATGACTGTTGAAATGCGAACAAGTTCTGGGAACGAATTACATAGTTCTTGATTCCGCCACTGCGTCTATTCGAGCGCGATTTCAGATTGCAAGCTAAACGTGATGCCTCAACGAACCTTTCGCATTTTATTATGTATTCCTATTTCAATGTTATTACATGTCTCACTCAGATTCTGCGTATATTGTGAATAAACAAATTAAACCATACAATTAGTGTTCCGAGATGGCGCTCTCGAGGAATCACCCGCGAAGTCTAGTTCACTTCTTGCTCGAGTTCCATTTGTCCATGGCGTTACGTCGCGTGTGCCAATAGGCGTCAATGCATCGTACGAACTGTCATAAGCTTCGTAGGTTACATCTAACGGCACGTTGCCTTGAAGTCAAGGGGGAAAACGCAATGCTGATTGAAAAGCTTGGCAGTCACTTAGATGTGTGTGTGTGCGTGCGTGTGTGGGGAGGGTGTTTGAGAAAGTGAGAGAGCCTAGTGACGTACGTCATTCTGATTCAACAGCCGTAACGTTTTGAAAGTCGTATCACTCCAGAGCACTTCGGTATTGTTTGTCATTAGTGTGACTGATTTCCGAGCTTACAACGTGCAACCCACACGTCACATGGCCGCGTCCGTTTGCACATGACTAGAGACATCGCCTCGGCGATTTGGCGCTTCCAAAAGTGTCGCATTGATAGTGTAACCCTCTCCACTAACTGTAACCGTTCCCCACTAACTGTAACCGACACCTGTCCGTATCCTACCAACATCCAAGAGTTCTCGCGAGCGCGTTCACACATAATCCGAGTGACTAACCTTGCCACACCGGGATCACTTTTCTTTTCACGCAGATCAACGACGGCATCGGCAGTTACGCTAGGCTCAAGACGCAAGGAAAGCGCAATCTCGTGTAAATCCCTACCGGGAGGACACCCACGGGCAGCTATCGAAGCACACACAGAGCCCGGCTTCACTGCTGCACATCGTCGAGTCGAGCGACTACGACGGGCGTTCTTTTTTTTTTTTTTTTTTTGCGCATGAGTTTCTTACAGGCTCTCTCAAAAGTGGGCTGGCTATTCTGCCTGCGACCGCCAAGCTGACTGCAGGTTGTTTAACAAAGTGGCATGTCACGAGTTTATGCCGCCGCGCAGGTTGAGAAACTTGGAAACTTGCTCAGTCATTACCGCTGCATGCTTCCGTTGGTGGTAGTATCAGATTTGTTCCATCACATATCACAGCAAAGCGACAGAGCAGTCAGCACAATTTTCACATAGTCTGTATGCATTGCACGTGGAAGTACCTGGATTGTGTGTTAAGCGTTAATTTCTTTTTGTGTTAATGTTTTCTTTCTGCGCATTTGTTTCGTTCTCAGCATCGTAGTTATGCTCTATTTGTAAGATATTGCATGAACTGGTCACTGGACTCAAACTGTTCCGTGTTCCCGCAACTGTGTCGTGAAAGCAGACTGCTTGTCCCCTGTGTTATCGCAAGTTTCGTTCTGGTCAGCGACATATCCTTCTACTTAGCGATCATAGTATTCAGAAATTGTGATATCTTTAACGCGCAATCCAGGTCCGCTGTGTAATTCGATTTTTAATTTTTTTGTGTGACTCGTGCTTATTCCGGTTTTCAGAATGCCGAGGTAAGTATTTCAAGCATGCCCCTAGGAAAGGGGTTCAGTCGTTCTTTTTGCGGCATAAACTTTCGATGGAACGCGCGATTGTGTCGTATCCTCCGACATCCGGGGCGTGTCGCGAATCTCGGGGGCGATGACAGGAACTCGTACACTCTGGTGAGAGGTGGAGTTACTTTACATACTTCCCTACGAGAGATAGGGCAACTTACGCAGTAACTGTAGAGGGGCGTGCGAGACAGCATCACCTGGTTCTGTTTTGTGACGTTATACCTTGATGACTTCTAGAAAAAACATGTGCTTCAAAAACGGGTTGGAACCTGGATGCTTTCGTTGAGCGTTTCTTGTCATGTGCCACAATCCCACGTTCCATCGACTCGCTTCAGCCTCGAATATTGTACGAGTTCAGTGAATTCGCACTTGAACGCTCAACACATTTTAGTCATCAATCAACTCGGTAACGTGGCTGGTCTACGTTAGACAGTGAATGCTACCTTGATTTTAAGTTACGTTGAGATGTGTCTTAGGCCTAAGCTAACTAGTCTTAGGCTTAACCTAAAGCATTAAGTCAAGTCTGGGCTCTGCTGCAGCCCTCAGATTCCACGAGTGTGTTTCCCGTGTCAAGAGTGCAGCGGAACTGAGCGAGTCGTGTTGCAACGGCGCGTGTGTGTTGACTAAAACAAAATCATGAATCCCAATCATACTAACCGTCATTATGACTGTCACACCCTGTCATATATTCAAAATGGCTTAATAGATTTTCGTAAATATGCTTCAGGAGCAGCTAAGTGGCATTTGTGTGTGTTGTACGTTGATTGTGGACTACACGGAATGCATGATAGGAATTTTCTAGTGCTTCGGTTGTGTGGAACGTGATAAAGCGACGCTTACGTTCACTGTACTGTAGAAACACGTGTAGATAGGTTTCAGAACTGTTATCACGGAAATGCCTCTGCTATCTCAAAAAAGAGCCTAAAGCTGTTCGCCAGGGGTACATCGACAATTTAATGTTGCCATAAAAAATAATCCGATATTGACAAATCTGATATACGAGGTTAGTGACAACTCGACTTCGTAACGTTTATTCTGCTGTCTGTAACAAAATTCATCATGCCTAAAGTAATTTTCTCCGATATACAACCAAACGGTTTCATCGTAAACGGTGACCTATAGTCTAAAAATACAAAGTAACTGACATGGACGATAGCGACAACAGTTCTGATAACATACGGGCGCAGCAATGTGGAGGTGCTACAACAGTATGTTAACAGCCAAGTTTCCTTTATACGGTCTTACGCTGCTTTATTTACAGCCTATAACTACTTAACATTGTACGTGTAGAGCAGTATTTACTGAAATGTGCCGTATGCCATTTCGATAGAATTCCATGCTACGTTTTCTTAAATTTACGGAAAGTTATGGGAAATATACGGATTGAGTCGTAACTTTCATACAGAAATAAATGAAAATAAGTGGACTCTATATGGATGTCACACGAATGGAATGGAATGAAAAAACTTTATTTCAGTCCTGCAGAACGTGCTTAGCGCGTAGCGGGCATCTCCCACGTAGGGAGCGACAGGGAGAACCTGGCGGCCGTTTCGTGGGCCTGCTGGACGGCCCATTGCTGGTCGGCGAGAAGTGAGCTCCTGAGGGATACGAACACATGTGGAATTATTGATATGGTATACGGAACGTTTCGATAGTTTTACGCACCCTACGTATGCTGTCTCAGCAGTGAATCGTGTAGCTGCAGGCTCAATTTTAAACAGTGTACTTCGCACCACCCTAGGATGTCTTACGGTGCAACAAAACCAGCATGTAAATACCGCGTATCGCACTGTTGTCACAAATCATCGCCACCATGCCCAGAGGACAACGCTTGTTTCCACCAGCCGCTCTGTATAGCGTGCGGTCTACTTTGTATAATTGCTGTTGTCCAAAGTTTGCACCCTTTTAATCGATGAAAACGGATTCGTAAAATAGCGCGATTTTTCTCGCGTGTGGCTAGGAAAAGGCAAAAAGCAACTCTAAGAGCATGAAGTTTTCATTCAACACTGTGAATCGCCGAATCTCAGGTGTTTTGATGTCTCTTTGCGTAATCGTGATGCTCGCCGACGTGCGAGAAATTGTGACGTATTTATGTTGTTAAGTGTGTAAATATTATATGGATTTTTGTTGCAGTTTTATAGTTGTTTGTGAACGTGTATCTCGAAGAACAATAAAAGAACGTTCTCCTTCTAGACAGCGCTGTTCTCGCGATTGCTTCATACATCGGTATTCTATCACGTGATATTCACGTAGGCATGCACAGACACGGGCATCAGTAATGATGCGCTGGTCCGCCCCGCCAAATCAGCTGGGACACAGTGCTGAATTAAAGTATGAACGTGTGCAGAATGTCTCAACTAACGTTGGCGGATATAAAAAATAAGAACAATAAAAAGAACATGCACATTGGTAAGCATACAGCGCCTCGTTATTGAGTATTTAGCACCCCGCGTTGCTATGTGCTTTGTCAACGAGGCTTCTTTGGGTGCCGCGCTAATCCTCTCTGAGCTGTTGTTAATTAGCGGTACCCCCACGAATGCACTGAAGGAGTTGCCGCCTCAGCTACTGTAGGCCTGTGCCACAATTCCCAAAAGAGGTAATCCTTTCCATTGAAAAAGTCTGTAGTTCCGCATGAACCACCTATAATGGGATACAATTTAAGACGGGAGAGGTCCCTCCGGAACGACCGAAGTGCCATAGCCGATCGCCTCAGCGACAAAAAAAGTCCCTCTCGTGAACACAGCAGTGTTCCCCGAAAGCGTCATCACCGCCCATACGGAGGAGGAGGAGGAGAACAACTTCATTTCAGCAGAGCAGTTTGGGGCACGCAGGCTCCTGGACCCCCGCACGATCTCACTGCACTCAAGCGTTCATTCGGTGGTGCTCTGTGACACTGGCAGCCCGGTCGGCAGCCATTGTCTGCTCAACCGGGTACTCTGAACGCAGTAGGGTCTCCCACTCCTCCCAGGTCTTGAGTACGGCTCAACACGTCAATCTGGAGTGTGCGCCCGTTGATGCAAACGTGTATCAAAGTTGCCAACCGCAAGGTAATTACCCTACGTGTGGGGTATTTTCGGTATTTCGCGGCCAGCGTAGGGTGGTAGGCCGGTGACGTAGGGTAATTTCAACATTTCGTTCGTCGTTGATCAGGGGAAAATGTAGAAGACCCGCGCGACATATCCGAAGGTTACATTCCTGAATAAATCTGCGTTGGAACCGTCTTAATACAAATGGCACCAGCACAAAAGGCGAAAAGATAACACCGCAAACATCCTCGTGCTAAGTCATTTTTTCTATATTTTTTTCTTTTTTGCCTCTCTGTCGTGTCCCGCCTGTTTGTAGTGTGAAGGGGCATTTAATTTTGCGACGATGGCCAGCTTCAGTTATTAGGGCAAAAGCTTTATATGGCCCTATTATACACGAAAAGTGGCAGTCGGCGTAAACGTCAGTTGCAAAAACTCATCATGATACAACGACACCGCCTCATGGCGTCATTGTGGCATGACTTAACGGCAAAATTTTTTGTCATGAAGTCATTACGACGTCACTGTGACATCAGAATGAGACCCCAAATGATGGCGTCATCAGTAGTTGTTTTCCCACGGTAATGGAAGGGCCGATCCCGGAGGCACCCCATGCGTCTCAACTTCGTCGTAGAGTGGACGATACCTTACGTTGTCAGTATTACACAGTGCTATTTCTAGGTTGCAGGGAAAACGTATATACGGTAATGAAACATGTTGTGTAGGGTAAGTCAGGGTAATTGTGACCATGGCGTAGCGTATTTTCCCTAATATTGCTTGGTAACTGTAGCATGCATTCTCCTTTTAGTGGTAATGCTGCAGGCTTCTAAAGTGGTTCTCCGGATTCTACAAAACAAAGGTTTACTTTCAGAACAGGTGCGGAATATACACGGATAATCATCCATAATTGGGTAGCGCATAAAAAAAAACACACAAGAGAAGGAAACAGGACAAGCACTGGTCTAACAAGCAGAAGCTCCACCCACGTGGCTATGGCTGTACAGCCACAAAAAGTTGTCGCCGACTATATACTGCACTATTCTCGAAGTTTATAATATTTATTACGGAAACCAGAAGAAACTCTGTCGATCTATTTCACACACACACACACACACACACACACACACACACACACACACACACACACACACATATGTATATATATATATATATATATATATATAATGAAATCTAACAGACAATAATGCCAAGGAAAGCATCATTGTCTGTTAGACCTCATTATTATTGTGTCTAAACACGAAAAACGAGCCCTTAAGTATACACTTGTTTCCTATATATATATATATATATATATATATATATATATATATATATATATATATATATATATATATATATAGCGTGTTTTAAGAAATGTATCCAATCATGTTTAAAAATCATCAAAAGATGATATTTGCTCCCTGTCTTCAGTTTCAAAGTTGCTTTTTTTCTGCAGCGGCAGGTATCTTCATAGGGTTGAAAACATAATTCTGAAAACTGAGTACGACTCATATTCATTACCTTTTTAAATAGTGGAGTTAGGCAGTTAAGTCAAGTGAGACAATTGAAGTCTTCGATGCGAAGAACCAATCGCCGCTATGAGATTTCGGAAATGAAGAGAGCAATGAAGAGAGCCATAATCAGCTCCTGTTCACGACCTCCTCTGTGAACTTACAACCTGCTCCTGCCACCGCTCCCAGTGTCGCTATATTTGCTTTTGCTTGTTTATTATTGTTTATTTCTCTAAAGTGCCACAGCACTAGGAACTGGACGCCATGCCGCTACAAGTTACCCCCATCGCTGCAGCCTTCAAACAGCTTTTCTGCACGTGCGTGCACGCGTGCGCTCGGTTTTTTTTTCTTTTTTCGCTAAAGCGCTCGCACAGAGATTTCGGTAGTGGAGACCCCGGACCCAGCCACCGTGGTGCTTCTGATAGCTACAATGTTGCTTCGAGACGCTGCATCTGTGAGTTGCTCGATCCACGCGTTAGAAGCTTTAGAATTGCGCACCGCGAACCCTTGCGGTGCGGTTGCGCCCACTGCGCATGCGTCGTAACGCGAGCAGCCATTCGCGTTCGCGGCCCGCCCGCAGAATATCCGAAATAGCGGGCGGCGTGTGCGGCCCGCAAACGCTGATGCGTTGCGGTTAATGATATGTGGGGTTTAATGTCCCAAGCTATTCTAAATATCATGTGGCGCCGGCTTTGCTGGCAATGCCCGCAAACGTTATTCTAAAACTTGCTAATGAAAGGAACGCGCACGCACGAGTGCACGACGACGTTCGTGCGTCGTCTGCTATGGGGTAAGTTGTGACGGCACCTAGCGGCATCTCTAGTGTCTATGCGCCAATTTTCAGACCCAAACGCCTCCATAGGCATTGTGCCGATGAGCAGGTCATAAAATTATAGAGGAGGTCGTGGTCTGAACAATGCGCTCAGTGAGAGCACGGTCTGGATCGAGGTTTAAACGCGCAGTTGTCTCGCCTGACGTCAGCCGGTCACCCGTCGGATATGATTGTGACTTTGGCTGATGCTATTTGGAGGACGCAAAGCGAGGCCGTCGCTGCTTCGCACGAAGATAATCAGGGACACAATCAGGAGACCACGAGTCCCAAAAAGATGGGGGTGATTGATTATCTGTATGGCATCGCACACAATGTTAAAGGGACCAATCAATGATTTTTTTTTTTCGACCCAGTTTTTTTGCGGCGCGACCGAGAGCTTACCCTTCGCAGTGTTCGCCACTCAAGTTGTTATTCCAAAAAGCACGTACTTAATTCATAAGCAGTATCTTTTTTATTATTTAAAAGGCTCTAAACACCAACGTGCCTTTCTGTCCAGCCACGATGAGAATTGATAGCGGTGCTGGTAGCCCTTCTAGCGACTTGTGCATGCCGTCATTGTTCTGCTTTCGCAGAAGTACCTGTGACTATGCTTAACCACGTTTATTCTGAGCTTTGCAACTATTTTTGAAAACAACAAGCCGTTACGATGAGACGATTTGGCTTTATACAGCTTCCCTGTATTTGTACAGCTTTGTGTGCGCCAGCGCCCAAGGTTGATGTGCCTGTGTCGTGGATGGCTTGTCCCGTCGTCGTTACTCTCTAGTCACACGAGCCAAGTCAAGTCACCGAAAACGTCAAAGTGTAGGTAAAAAAAAAAAAAAACACGTCACTTCAAAATCTTAGCGAGCTCGAAACTGCGTGGACGGTTTCATGAGCACGTAGCGAAGTTGTTCAAAGACGAACTAACGAGCACGGCATCATTACGTCATGCGAAGGCAGCGCCACTTTAAAACCTACTACTAGCGCAGGGCTATAGGTACATTTTTTTTTATGAAGTAACATATTTTACTATAGAGAAACAAACAATACTTCAATGCTAAAAAAACTGTTGCCTGCGTGCAATAGTTTACGGTCAGATGACACTGAAGCTCGGATAATTGAAGTTTCCTGCCACCAGAAATAAAAATATTATTCCACTTCTCATGAGAAAAATAGGGCTGCTTTGAGGGATTCCCTCAAAGCAACCCTTCTGGGCAGTTTTGGGCAGTTGTCGGTCCCCTTAATATTGGTGCAAAAGCCGGCGTACCAATGATCATGTGCCCCCCCCCCCCACTCCCCCCCAAAAATATACCGTCAGATTATACCTAAAAAAAGACTGCCTATTTACACCTAAAATTTAAAAATGTGGCTTGAAACATCGATACAACTAGGCTTCTGACTGCACAAACGCGGTCGTGTACAAGTTGCCACTTTCGTCTCGTGTGGACGCCCTTTTCATTTCATTTCATTTTATTACCTTAAAGGTCCCCAGGGGGACATTACATAAGGGGTAGTTTGAAAAATGGCTTGTGACGCTATGCATAAATGTTGATGGACAGGTGATTGCTGCAATATGGTGGGGGAGGTCATTCCAGTCTTTTGCTGCACGAAGAAAAAATGAGGCAGCAAAAGTAACGGTGCGGGAACGTTGACGGGCAACTTGAAAGACATGGCCAATGCGATATGACCTGCGAAATGGGGGGGGAAATGTAAGGTTCGATTGCAAGTGGACTGTGAAAAAGTTTGTGAAACAAGCAAAGGGTGGCAATGCGGCGGCAGGAAGATAGAGGGGACAGGCCAATTTCTTCTTTTAAAGATGACACGCTAATGTGATAGGCATATGAGGAATGAATGAATCTAGTAGCACGGTTTTGAAGTGATTCGAGTGCAGCAATGAGATACGCGTGTTGTGGACTCCAAATTGACGATGCATATTCAAGCTTGCTTCTTACGAGGGACTGATAAGCTAATAATTTTACATGGCGGGGTGTGTTGCGCAGATGACGTTTTAGGAAGCCGAGAGTACGAGTAGCAGCTGCGATGATAGTCCGGATGTGCTCAGCCCAAG